TCTGAGGTGGCTGGTAGGACCCGTAAGTCGCTTTAAGTCACTCTGATCGCTTTCGGTCTTCTCCCTTCCCTGGGCAGCCATGGGCTCTAGGCTGCTCATGGAGACGTCGCAGAAGGCTAAAGGGAAAGGTGTCGCGTGCTTCTTCGGCTACCTAATACAAATACTTGTATAAATACACCTTATAGTTTAGTGTTTTGTTTTGGACTATTTATTTGTTTTCATCTTGGTATTTCTGGTAAGCTTGTTAAAGAAACCAGTCACTGGGAGTAATCTTTTACAGTGTTAACTCTAATTTCAGCTACGAGCCCCTGCCTTTTCTCCTGTGTAGCTCTCTCAGGTGTATTTGGTTGTTCTTTCTCCCTGTAAGACTTGTGCAAACAGGAGGAGAGGAAGAAGCTGCCTAGGTGGCATAGGGATAAAATGACCATGTAAAATACTAGCAAATTTGGAAGTTAGCAGCTTTGGAGAAGCTGTAAGATTCCTTCAATGTTATCCTTACAAAAGCAACAACAAAAGACCTAAGCTATGCTCTTGGAGATCCTGCTCATTAAAGCAGCATGCTGAATGATAATTGTAACAGAAGTGAAGAGCTACTCCACAGAACAGCAATGCAATAGCATTTGTCATATTTGGCTTCTGGCATGCACTCAGCTCAGAGTCTGTTACGGTCTTATGTTGAGGAAACATTGCAAAAAAATTAAGCTTATACTGTCACTTCGGATGAATTTTTGCATTGCAGCTTAAGTGAATGGGGCCAACTTAAAAGCTAGTATGTGTGGAAATCTGCCTTAATTCTGCTGCAAGTCTTAGCAACCTATTAATCATACTTAACTATAACTTGTTATAAATGTTTTTCCCTCTGCACTTTAGTAACACTCCTGAGCTACATGAGGAGTACTCTGAGGAGTACTTACTCTGTTGCTTAGTTGAAACTATTTTGGTTCATTGTAACAGTTAAGGAACCTGAAGCCTCTTCAGTGTTTCCTGTGTGTCTTAATATAACTTGCTTATAAACAAAATTACTCTTCATTCTCTTTTTACAACCTCTTTTTAGAGAGTAGCGACTGCTAAAGATCAGACACCCTACTTCTGTACAACATGAGATTTTTTGATCTGGCTTATTGGGAGACTGTTACTATCTGTGAATTTTTATATTATTCCGAAACTTCCATAGAATAGCATTACTATTTGATTGCAGTAGGTTCTCTGTAATGTCTGTTTCTGTAAGTTTTCTTCTGTATGTTCAGCTTGACTGCAGTTCTGCACTCCAAGTGTGACCACTTCTAGTTTCATGAAAAATAATTTACTGCATGCTGGAAGTAACTTCTTGTCATGAAAGCCAGTGTGCTTGAGGGTAAGGTAGTAGAAGGCATTTGATTTGGGCCGAAGGATAGATCAGGGCTTCTTTTTAAATTTGTATAATGGCAAACAACTTCTGATAGTTTCAGAATTTGTGGAGTTTTATGACAGGGCAAATTAGCTTATCGCAGTCTGCTTAAGCACCATTGTATTTAGAATATCAGCAAGTGCAAGCATCATTATACCTACAATAATAGCGAGTGAAACTGTTAATTGTATCTCCTGCCAAAGGCCCTGAAATCATAGAATAGTTTCTTAAATTGGTTGCATGGATTTAATCAGACTTTTTTTTTGTGTGTGTGTGTGTGTGATGTGTGTGTGTGATGTGTATCATGTGTGATTAAGAGGAAGAAAGGAATGATTAATGATCTGATGTTTTGGACAGCAGGGTGTACGTAAATATGCATTCATCTGAATAGTCTGCTCAGTTGTGCTGTGGTTTTGTGAATTGATATTCCTGCCTTCTGGAATACCTCACTGGGTTCTTAATGTGAATCACAGAATGGTTGAGGCTGGAAAATTGGGCTAATTTGTATTTAATGTATTTTAAAGCTCTTGTACCCATGCAACACCTCAAATTATAGAGGAGTTGAGGAGGTTTGAGGAGTTGTGACCTGTTTGCCACTAACCTTTGATTTTGATTACAGTATAGTTTTTCCTTAAAGTCTAGGATTTAGCTTATGAGCTTACTAAATACTGCATGTTCACAAGTATCCTAGTTCAGAGAAACAGTGTAGTTTTGGAACAAATCACACTGATGTGCAAAACAGTTGATGCACAGAAGCTAAAACTGGGCCTTAACATCTCTGTTGGGGAGATGTTAAGGCCCAGATTGCTTTGAGCCATGTGGCAGTCCAGAGACCTGATTACGTTTAGCCTCGAGTAGAATCGCACAATTGCATATAATGGCCTCTGCACCCAGTAGTTAATCTCAAGATGGACTTTTACCCATTAATTTCTTATCATTCTTAGTGAAACAAAAATACTTGTGCATGATGGCAAGTTGTGGTGGTAGAATGCTTTAAGCACAAGTTTAAGGTGTTCTTTGCTGTAACTTCTAACATTTTTGACTTTAAAATTCTCAATTTTTAAAAATATTGTCTTTAAAAAATAATGTCATTTTTTGACTCAAAAATGACATTAAAATGGCTTTCAATAACTTCTCCTTTAACGACTGAAAAAAACTTAAAGTCAAATGGCAATATTTTTTTAAAAAATGACAATTTTACACTTTAAATGTTGAACTTAAATAGCTGCTAGAAAACTATTTATTTGAACTTAGTTTGCTGTTAGGGTTTCTGTGCATGAGTAGTTTGGCACGAGTCCCAGAATGATGTGGGATCGCTTTATCTCTTGATGTGAAAGATAGTGTTCTATTTTACGTTACTCCTTCCATTCTTGACAGAATACCTTCCGAAATAGCCTTATGGATGCTTTAAAGCAATATGTAGCAGTACTAAGGCAAGACATTGGTGGGATACAGACTATGTCCTCTATGTCACTCTCTAGCTAGTTCATGGCATGTGTGCAAGACCTATCATCTGTATCCTTTATGGCCACATGGAAGCTCTCCATTATTCATTATTATTCGTTATGTTTTACATGAGTCAGCAAGGATGAGTCTTGATTCTTATATTTACACTGATAGATTTCATTTTCTTCTAAAAAGCTTTTGCCTACCTTCAGCTGTTGGTTCCTGCCACTTGCCACTTCTTCTGCATTTGGTAATCTTTTTGATACGGCCACATGGAAGCTCTCCATTATTCATTATTATTCGTTATGTTTTACATGAGTCAGCAAAGATGAGTCTTGATTCTTATAGCTACACTGATAAATTTTATTTTCTTCTTCTAAAAAGCTTTTGCCCACCTTCAGCTGTTGTTCCTGCCACTTGCCGCTTCTTCTGCATTTGGTAATCTTTTTGGTGATTGTTGGACCCTAGGACTGATCAATCTGGTTAAGCTGATTAGATGGAAAAAATACTAATTTTTTGTTTTCTGGGATAATTTATCTGTGGGATGAACCAAACTGAATCCCTTAAACTGGGCCTGCACAATTGCTGTCCTCTGTGCTGAGAGCTTATGATGTGGCTCTAGTTCAAGGAACTGATGTGGCTAAAAGTTATTTTGGGGTTATTTTTTGGTAAAACCATCTCTCTGAACTACTTTACTGAATTCTACTGTGAACATCAGTGCTACCTTAAAAAGGTTGGGAGTGGTCGTGAGCCTGAGGAGGGTAGAACAGTGAGATGCTAGTGCCAGCTGCATTAACATCTAAACCTGGGGAGTATGTATAGTCTCATCTATGTGGTTCTTTCTTCTGAAAAGATTTGGAGAAAAGGTTTGAAACTCTCCCAGCTTGAAGTCTGAAGATTCAATTTCTGAATCATGGTGTAAATCCTGAGGTTAGCTGCCAGACTAAAGGAAGAATGTTTTAATATGCCTCACTTCAGTGTACAGAAGTTTGTGTGAATGAGAAGTGGTCTAGGGCTGGTCTCTGGGGTGTGTGGTCTCACAAAACAGCTTAGATAGGCAAACCCAATACCTCCTGCCTGTGTTTGTGGTTCGAAATGGGGAAAATGATCTGAAAAATTGCAGAGCATATCCAGTGTTACAACTTATGTGATATCTTTGGGGCAATTCTTAAAATAGTCCTTAAATCTAAGGTCATAACGTTGATAGTATTTAAAAAAAAAAAAAGTTTATTGACTGCTATTATGTACTGGAATTTTTTGTCACACTCTTTGGAATATGATATGTTAACAGTGACATCGATGTAGCTAATACACAACTTGCACTAAAAGCTTGCCTCTTCCACAAGGAAGAGACTGTGGAACAGTGTAATAGGTTAGAGGGTGTATGAGTACTTTGCTATCCCTTTTGAGTGGGCATTATTATAAATAAAACCCCACTTTCATCAGTCTCTCTGGGTAAACCTAATGTGGAATTTATGGCAGAAATGAAGCAAGCTTCTCTCTAGGTGACCCTGTGTGTGCAGGGGATTGGACTAGATGATCTCTAGAGGTCCCTTCCAACCTTAACAATTCTGTGATTCTCCTTCCCTGTGCGCGCTCTGCTTTTTTGATAGTCAAGTACAATGGGTTGTATTCTAAAATTGATGATGGACAGGTCTAGCAGCTAAGCAAGTGTATCTTAAAAACAAACCCCCAAAAGTCCATGAAAGAAAAGTTAATTTATGGTAACTGTTTTAATTTTCTATTATGCTGCTCTAACAAAGCTTGTTTTTTTTTCTCCTTTTCTAGTTCACATGAGAGATCCTAATAATCAACTGCACATAATTAAGAACCTGAAGATTTCTGTCAACAACATTATTACAAACCCACCTCAGCCAGGTGCCATTCGAAAGCTTTTGAGTGATGTTGTATCTGTCAGCCAGCCTGCTGAAGGGCTAGTAGCTAACGTGATCACAGCTGGAGACTATGATCTCAACATTAGTGGTATGTGAATACTGTATTTTTCTGTGATTTAAATTAGAGCTTTTTATTACAAAATTGAAATAGCAACTTATTACGCCTGATAAAGATCAGATAAACATATAAGAATTTGCCTACAGTATTGGTACTAATGTACAGTTTTACTTGGTCATTCTAATCTCATTTTTTTAGTGTTCTTGCACATTGCTCAACGCAAGATTTTAAGGTCATCACAAAAAAGTGGTTCTGCCATGAAACTCAGTGCTTCATATTTCCCTGTTAGAAGGGTTAGACTACTCTGAAAGATGAAAAAGGTTTGCAATGTTTTATTTCTTGGAGCTCTAAAAAAGTCGAGACATGAATTTTTTGAGAGCCGAGAAGATTAAGCTCCTCTCAATTAAGGCGCTAATCCACTAAAGCCTTTGAGTACATACTTAATTTAAAGCATGTATGAATTGTCCTATTTAAACATGAGTTTAAATTGCTGGTACTTAGCTTGGCATACTTTAAGGAATTTGGTCCTATATGTTTGTTATTTGGATATAACAAAAGCCTGAGAGGTTTATTTTACTTATATGTCTGTGTGTTTGTCTACATATATATATATATGGTAAATTTGTGAGGAGATGTAGTAGCGTTGTTTGACTTTTTTGATGTGTGAATATGGAAAAAAAAATAGAGAATCTTCAATTCCTGGTTTACAAGCCATGTTTTTCAAGCTGATGAAATATTGATAGTAAAAGAAAAGACTTGAAAGGCTTAATTCTAAATGTTGAGAATTACTAGGGGAACTACAGCCTCTTTTCACAGATTTCATGTCCCTGTTTTTCTGTGGAATTGGTTCTCTCCTTCATGGCTTTTTTATGTAAAACATTTCCGAAGGGGTAAAAATCTGCTTGAATTGTTAGGGGATTCCAATTTTAGGAGTCAGAAATCTTCTGGTGAGTAGAATCTTTCATAAACAGTCTCAACTCAGAAGTGATGTGGCAAAGAGAAAAGAATGACTACTTTATCGAGCCATTCTGTGTGTAGTGGTGCAAGCAGATAACCCTCATTTTGTCTCCTGTATTTGCAGCTCACATCCCCTGTGAGCTGGGTATCATCCTTGAGTATCTTTACATCTCTTATTTAAGAACAGTTAGGTTCTTAATTCTCTTCTGACTGGATGTTGCCATCCTGTAGTCAAGGAGACATATCATGTAGTCTTTATTTAAGATTACATTTGGGGCAAAATAATGTAACAATTTGGTAACTTTGTATCTCTTCATAAGCTTTAGCAGTACTACTACTGTCAGTAACTCTTGACAACAAAATTGGGATTCCACTACATTTTAGCAGGACATGGCAAAGTCTCTAGCTTGTCAGATAAGAGAGGAAAAATATTTCAAAGTAGAAAATGAAATTTTAAGAAACTTCTTTACCCTCCCTTCCTCCCATTTTTACCCCCTGCAACTTTGTTAGAGCATTTTATTGAAAAACTGTGGAGCACTCATTCTGGCCACAGATTTTCATTTTAATGGACATATGAAATGCTCAAATCTTTCCTTTAATTTGCTGCTCTTATGGTAAATTAGTTTATGATAGTAATATTAAAGCGTATTTTCGTGATCTTTAATGATGATCAAGTACAATATGTTTTGAAGGAAAACATAGACTAAGACAGACATAAATGAGTGTGTGTGGGGTCATGGTCCTGCTTACTTAAGAAAAGCTTTGGAACTGCTATGATAAATTGGTTTTGTAGTAGTGGTCTCATATCTGTAGTTCCATAGTACTGCTGTACTGATGAGACTTGTACGGTTCCTGAGAGGGCGTTTGTGTTCAGCTGTGCATGTCTTCCCTCTCCCATGTGCTGGTGCATGTGGAGAACAAGTAGAAGTGCTGCCACTGAAGACTTGTTTGGTCCTTCCTTCCCTACCCGGTTGCATCAGTTTTCAGCTGAATGGCTTCCCTGGTCCTGCTCATTCAAGGCTGCATGATGCTAGTGCTGACATACAGAAATGCAGGACCATGGCAGGACTAAGGAGGATGCTGGGACAGCCACTTTCTGAATCTAACCTCTTCAGTTACTTTAACTGTAGTGCTGCAGGCTGAGAAGTCTCGGAAATTATTGGCTTATGTTTATAGTCTCTTCCAGGTAGAAGAATAGGAATATATCTAAATATAACTTTCTGATTCTTTACACCTTTATAGTTTTCTCATGTTAAGGCCAGAATTTGGACTGAACTGGAAACAAATATTAAATTGTAAAGTATGCTCTGAAATGTTGAGCATGAAGCATTCATAATTGATCTTATCCGGATTCAAATGTCTTCAGTCATGACGGGCCTCTGTGATACAGATTTCGACCTCATGCTACCAAAGCGTAAAAGGCAATAGTGTGTTTTCGCCTGAGCCTCTTTTTAGTATAATAATACCATGTTTTTTCTATCAGATCGCTCAGTTAAAGCTAGTGTTCCTTGGTACAATAATTGGAAAGAGACACTGATGGAACTGAACACATCTGCATTTTATTCAGGTATTTTTTTGTGGCTGGTGCGGATTTGCCAAATTGCCCTCTATCTCTTTTCCATGTGCCCCATCCACTTCCTTCTGCAACTGTTTAGCACTTCTCTTGGCATAGATGTGTGTTCCTCCATTTTTTTCCCAGAAAAAAAATGTTGGTGATGGCTGTTTCATTCTCTTCTATTCATAGTTCTAAATTCTAATCCTGTTAAGCTAATGTTAACCTGTGGTCTCCCCATAGAATCCAATTAAATGCAGAGTGGGGGAAAACTGATTCTGATAACTGTAAAGTACCATCTTGTTTGATCCTACAAGAACTGTATACTGTCACTGTTCTGTATTTCAAATACAAATACTTTTCAGCTTCTCTCTGTCTTTTTCTGTGCGTATAGTACTGTTCTTCAGGTTGAAACTAAAGTGTAACTGTACTTAAGTATATGCCTCTGCTCTGTTGTATTTTCTGGATTATGACTTTCTTCAAAATTGACTTTTATAATGCATATTTCTAATCTATCTTATATCTATTGCTGCCAAAAGTGCATTGATTGTTGACCTCTCAACTTGCAATGAAGCTGTATGTTGTAGTCTATAAAATAGCTGATTTTTTTTCTTCCCTCACCAAGACTTAAATATTAATAAAACTTAGGCCTTCAATTGATCATAATTATCCTTTCAATAGTGTCCGTTCACATGTTGCTAAATTTTGTCTTTTCTGAATGTGCCAGATACTGACAAAGTTCTTTTTGCGTAGTAAAATAAGAAAGTATAAAACCTAAGGAAGTAGATTTCTCATACATAAGCTGATTTGTGCAAATAGAATCCATACTTTTTAATGGTTTCTGAACACACTAACAAGTTTATGTGAACTTGACCTCTGCTAATTTAGCATACTATAAATGTGTACTGGAGAAAATAACATATACACATCTGTGATACTTTGCACTGTTAAAACACATGGTGCATAACATGATGTTCTTGAAAAGTTTAACAAAGTGTTTGCTTTGAATAAGGTGCATGATTATTTTTGCAAGTATCTGATATAAATGATCGTGGCCATATAAATCTTCTTGAGTAAATGTGGCTGTGTGCTGGGCTCTGTAGAGGAAACATGATTGGTTTTTAGCCTCTTCGTAGGTTCTTACTGGTCTAAAACAAATGGGCTTAGTGCAGCCTGTTTTGTTGTTTCCACTGTTTTGTTGTGGTTCAACTATATAACCAGAATGGAAAAATGAAAATAGAAATTAGAAAGTAGTAATTTCTACACTTAATAGTTTAATACTGCTTGGTTTTGAGCCTCAATTACTACAAGGCTGCATTATACTTGTAAATGATACACCAGAGGATTTTTTATGGTTTATTTTTAATAACAAGCTGTGTTTTCCTTGATGTAAGTAATTCCAATATTTACATATTGGACGTAGTAAACATGATGGCGTTTTTGCCACAGATGACTGTTCAAAAATCACTTGGTTAGATCATAATTGCGACTATACATTTGCTTCTTGATGATCTCTTTAATCATGGGAATAACGTTGACAGATTGAGTTCAGTTGTAAAATGTGAGGATGTTTGACTTAAACTTTTGGATGAAGCTGGCATGAGGTGGTGGTTTTTTTTTTTTAATCCTACACTGTCAGATCAACTTTAAAGCATTACAAGATGTTCTCCCAAAGCCCCTTTATTTAGGGAGAGGGGGAGCAAATTGACAAATATTTAGGAAATTCTTATGCAAATTAAATCAAGGAATGCACTTCTTGCTTTCTTGGACACTATGAGAAAAATCTCAAGGGTTTTTTATTAATGCATTTTTCCTTGCCAATCGTTCTTTTCTAGTTTGCAGATGATTTTATTCTGCATTCTAATTTATTGTGCAATGTGAAATCAGACTATTATAAATTATTTTGCCCTTTTTTGTACTGAGGTGAATGAATTGCAGAATTGTGATGGCATAAAACAAATCTTGAAAGGAGAAATATTTCATCTCTAGACTGATAGCTGGCGTGGAAAGAACCAAACTAAGTTTTTAGGTTCACAGACTCTTCGGATATCCCACATCTACTTAGTTTCTCTGTAGATCTTGCTTGGATACTCTGAAGTAGTCGCAGGGCAGGGTATCCTTGTAAGGATTTAGTGCCACCATTCAGAGCTGAGTGTTTCAGCGTTTCTTTTGGTGCATGTTTGTGGGTTATGGGGGAGAGGAGGAACCTGACTGACTACTGGCAAGTCACAATGCTTGCAGAAAGCTTTTTGGCAAAACCCACAGGATAGGGATTTAGTAATTCTTGGTCCCTATGCGTATTCCAAAATGAATTTAGCATCGGTCAATCGATACAACCTTACATGAGATGAATACAATAACTGTTAGAAGAAATTAATTCCTTTTCTTCCAAGTATGTGTGTTTAGAGGGCTGAAGTAGCAGTTATTTTAACAGTGCATATATTCAGCATATACTGAATATATGAACTTAAAATATGGAAGGAGCTGATACTTAAGATCTTAGTACTCAATTTCACAGAATTAAAGTATTTGAATATCTCTGACCTGTATGTTTTCAAACTCTGTGTTCTGGAAGCTTTTGCTTAGACTGTTTTCCCCTTCCCCTCCTGTCTGGGTCCTGCAACTCTTGTCAGGACTTGCAGATTTCACTTATTGATGTAATCTTTTGTAGTAACTTTATTTGAATTCATAAACAGAAGCTTGGCTGCATAAATAAGCTTGGTCTTATCTTATTGTGTATTTCAGCTACTACTCCTTGGTTTGAGTCTTACAGAGAGAGCTTTCTTCAGTCAATGCCTGCATCGGATCACGAATTCTTAAACCACTATGTTGCATGTATCCTTTGAGCGTTTCTTCCATGAAGGCTGTTACAAATAGCTGCAGAAATATAATGCAAGAGACTTTGAAATTTTTGAATAACTTGTGCTGCAAAATACCCCTTAGTATATCCAACTATTTGAGCTTAATTCTGTAAGGGAATTTTTTGAAGATGCCTATCTGTTTATATCTTGAGCTGAGCTATAAGCTAATACCTCTGAACTTATCCCAGAATGTTTTCAGCCGTGGCGTTTTAGGTACATGTTGACTGTCTTCATTGTACAGCAGAGTTTTATGCTGGCATGTACTTGCAGCTTTTCATTAGCTTTTCTAGTTCTTGAGAGGTGGGGAAGCGGTGAGAGAGAGTCTAAAATAGCTAGAAGCTCATCCCCAAAAGCTGTAAAGATGCTTCAAATGCTTTTGCAGCAACTTTTTTTGAGCAAAAGTTAAGCCTCATTGGCTGTGGGGGTGGGGACTCTGCTGTTTCACAATGTAGTTGATGTTGACTTTGCAATAAAATTAATGATGTAAGTTTTGCAACTCTCTGTTTCTAAAGCTCAACTGTACTTCATCATTTCAATATGGTGGCAGAGTTATCTTTGAGCTAGTTTGTGTAGAATTAATTTGACAAAGTATTGATTCTGGCCCTTGGCTACTAAATTGTAGTAGCAGTTTAAATATTTTGGCTTCTCTAATTAAATGACTTTGGTTTGGTGAATAGAAGTGGCAAAGCAGAATTTCTTATTCAAGTTCAGATTCACGCCGAATATCTCTCCTTTTTAGTCAAATGTGGACGCTTATTAATGCTGTGTGTTACTGTGTTTGATCAGGTGATGTCTTAAATTATAGTTTTTTGAAAGTTAGGAAGTAAAATACATTAGAAGTGTCCTTTAATTACACTTGTGTAAATATAAGTTTTACCTATGAGCAGATGATCTCAATCTAAAATGCTAAACTAACTATAAGCTTGAATTCCATCTCAAAACTGGAGAACTGGAGAAAGTTAACATTTCATCTCATGCCACAGGTATTAGCTAACTGACCCTGTAAGTTTTAAAGCATGTTTTTCATGTGAATTTCCCTTCCCTTCTCCTCACCCCCTGCAAGCTGAATCCAGACCAAACTGGAGTTGCACAGCTCAGCCTCATGTGTTTTAAACAGGGGCTGCTCCCTGTTCAGCTGTGTGGTTGGTGGTTGCTCCTGGTCTTCAGGCAGACGTCCTTAACAAGACTTTAGGTATGCTTGTAGTTTCGTCTGGTGAGCCAGAGCCTGTGGAACAATTTCTGAAGCTGTCTCAAGAACAACACCGCATTCAACATAGTAGTGAATATTCCTATCCAAAATGGTTTATACCAAACACGCTTAAATACTATGTATTGCTGCACGATGTAAGCATGGGAGAAGAGCAAAGGTGATTTTTCTGCTTTAAGCAAATTTTGACCAAAATTCGTATGTTATAAATTACTGCTAATATATTCTGTTGTATGCTTAAGCTTAACCAGTTTGCTGGCTGTTATTAAGGCAGACTTCGTAGGTAGTATTCCTAGATCTAAGTCATGTAAAATAAATGCTTGGTTTCAGCCTTTTGAGGTAACGATTTCTATGCTAGCTCACTAAACCAGTTTCTTTTTAGGAGAGTCTGTTTCATCCTTTTTAAAAGAAATTATTAAAAAACACGAGTTCTTTTTATCCCTGTGGATAACTGGAGGTTTGGTGTGATATCAAGACAGGGTAAACACGGTTTAATTTTTTTCAGAGCTGACTCCATTTATGAAGAGATGAAGCAGAGATATGGAACTCAGGGTTGTTATTTACTGAAAATAAATTCACGGGTGTCTAACAGAGGAACAGATGAACAAATACCAGATCCTTGGAGTCAGTACCTTCAAAAAAGTAGTATCCAGAACCAGGTATTACACTACTTTAAAATACTTTAAAAGAAATTATGTATATTAATGTCTATTTTTGTTGCATTAACTTTTCCATTAGTATTATATTTTTTCTATGGAGTATGCTCAGAGTTGTTGCCCTGGTCAGTGCATATGAAACAGAAGTGTCCTTTATGGTAAGGATTTTTATTTTTAGTTAACAGGCAATATATATATGTATGTATGTATATATTTTCCTTTTTGTAACTTCAGGCAATGGCATTTGATGTGGTCTGTCATCTGCCAAGACGATATGATGGTATACATGCATAGGCTAGAGTATTTAGTTCTGTTTGCTGTTACCATCTGTAGATGGACTAAAAGTATTCCTTAAATCTGCTTTTAACTATCCTGCACTTTTAACTGTCCGATTAAAGGGTGTATATGTGTGGAATCAGTCCACCATCAAGTCTAGCTGGCACTAGACCACTAAAAGATCAAAGGTGTATGTTTTAGTGTTTTAGCTGTTTGGATGACCTAAAACTTATGTTCCTACATAAGCTATTCCTGAGATATATTCAGGGGAGGGAAAGGAAACAAGCTTGCATTCACCAATTATCCCACATAGCCTTATGTGTATATTTATATGTGTGCATATATGGGTGTGCATATAGAGAGACTATTCCTGAGATATATTCAGGGGAGGGAAGGGAAACAAGCTTCCCTTCACCAATTATCCCACATAGCCTTATATGTATATTTATGTGTATGCATATATGTATATATAGGTATATAGAGAGACTTTTTTTAATGAGGGCTCTTCAGTAATGGTGTTTGGGAGTGTATTCAATAATTCAGGTATTGCTATTTGAGAGTTAACCATAACTGTTGGAAATGCTTAAGTTGACAGTGAAGCTGTATGAGCAAGCTGGAAGGTATTTGCTTTTGTTACTGGGCAATTCCTTGCAAACTGTTGAAAAAATGAAAGTGTAAGAACATTTAGATTTAACATAATTTCTTAGTCTTTGAACTGTAACTGAATTTAGCAATTATTGATGAGGGATTTCTGTGTTCTAATGTTTTTGAAACACACTTGTGTTTTCTTTCCCCCTTGGTGTAGGATAGCTATGAAGATTATCCATATTCTGTCATTTCAAGTAAGAATGCTGATCACTTGATATCAGATGGCTTAGATGATGAGATGAAAGGTATTTTTTTAACTGTCATAAAAATGTCAATGTGATAGCATTTATAAACCTGTTTCATGTCTTGGATGGTAATCTGATCTCTGGGAAAGTTGTGATATGCCTGTGTGCAGTTTGTAAATACTGCTACTTTTATAAGCATTAATATGTGTGCTGGTTTTAAAACTTCAGATAATTAAAAATAGGTAACACTTCATACATCCATAAGCTTAATCAAGGTATGGATAAGTGGCAGGCGATCTCTGAACTGAAATTAAAAAAGCCTTACAAATTCTGTTAGAGTAGGCAAAAGAGAAACTTGCTTGATGCTCAGATATACTTAACTTGGTGTCCACAAAGGAAAACAGTGTGGCTGGTCCACTGGTTGGTGGAGATTGGTGGATGCATCTTTAATGATATGGCTTCTGTTTGTATTGGGATCATAGCTTGTAAGATTAAGCACATGGTTTCCAAATTCTAAGTAGATAACTTTCCTTATAGCAAAAATGAAGACTGCCTTGCTTTAATGTAACCTGGAATTAGATTTTTTCCTTTTCTTGTTTTGTTCTATCTACTTTTAAATTTGAAAATGACCAAGTAGGAAGATATTTCAGTTAGTCTGAGTACTTATCTAGCAGTTCTTCTCTGAAGGCATAGAAGACAGAACAGTTACTGAAGCTGAGTGCAGATTAAATCATGCTTTATTTTTAGGCTATGCAGGATACAGGTGAGAAGCATCATCAAATAAGGAGGCAATGCAGGTAACAAACAGTGTCCTGACTTGGCCCAGGTCATACAGATCCGTGTCGAGGGGCACGGGGAAGCAGAGCCTCCTTATAGAGACAGCCTGCAACTACCTGAGCAAGCAGCCTCCGGAGGCATTGTGGGCCAGTGGTAGCCTCTGTACTTGAAAAAAATCTTTCAGGGGCTTGCTTTTGCAGTTTAGCTTTGCCTAGTGCTGCCTGGGCCAGAGAAAACAAACTAGGTGTGCTTACATGTAGAAAGGAAATAATAAGATGAGAAGTTAGCAAAATTTTACTGATCGAGACAGTATCTTGGTCTACTCAGATTGCTAGAAGCAATAGTGGTTAACCACTTACTGAAGTAAAAGGGCTTCATAGGAGATTGACACACTGCATAATTGCTTAAAAAAGGGGAAACAGTAGCATTTTAATTTATCAGAAATGGAAAATAAACACTTGGATCCAATTCATCTAGTGTAGGAACTGTTGCATTTCTATTCTTCCAGGAATATTTACCTCCTGTTTTTAATGTTGTATTCGGTGAACATTGTTAATACTACTTAACATACTTAACAATCCTTTGCACTAAAGCCTAAATCAAATGTACCTCTGGAACTATGTGTTCGAGGAGATGGCATTCAATCGGTTACATTTAATGATCTTCATATTTACTGTCTCTTTCTTTAACTGTTTCAATCTTTTGACAGATGGCCTATCAAATAACTTTAAAACTCACCCCCTTCAACTGGATCACCCCAGTGGCAGTTTGGATAGCACTGATTACATGAAGGCTACTGCATCATTGCAGGAATCCAAGAAATCCAACTCTGGAATGCCTCATGGTGCATGTTTAACACTCACAGATCACGATCGAATTAGGCAGTTCATTCAGGAATTCACATTTAGGGGACTTCTGCCACATATAGAGAAGACAATTCGGCAACTTAATGATCAGGTCAGTTTCTTTTAAAAACACTTCCCTGACACAAGCATAAAACACTTGTAACGTGAACCTAATTATCCAGATTTGTGTTGAAATTTTCTCCTTATTCAATATTGTAAGTAAATTTTAAGAGAAGTAGCAGAAGTTGTTTGGCTCAGTTCATGTCTTAAAAACAGAGCTTCCTGATTAAAGCCTGTATGAACTATTGTCAGATGAATATCTTTTATCATCTTTTAAGAGATTGTCTACTTAAATTGTATGAGCTGGAACTCATGTGGAAGTTTCCTTACTGGTGAGAATGAGTCTTTAAATGATTGAACTTGTTTGCATAGCATAGACAGCACTTGGCACTGGGCAGTGTTTGTAATGTGGTGGTGCATAATGTGGTGATGGAGAGAATGTCCCTTTTCTTGAAATGTAGTGGTATTGATTAAGGTTAACCAAAACAAGGTATTAGATTTCCTATTAATTTGATCAAATACATCATCAAATAATTCATCCAACCTAATCCTAAAATAGATTAAGTGTAGGAAATCCACAGCAACAGTAGTGAAGCTCAGCTATCAGAAACTGAATAAATATATGAACAACTTCTACCTTCCTATCAGTGATTCACTCCAAAGGAGTGTGTGTTTGGTCATTTTGTTAAAGCAGTTCTTGGGGAATCCTAAAGAACCTCGTGGTTCTAGAATGGTCTGTCTTGTATCTTGTACGATGGTCTAGCTTGTGTCTAGTGCTCTAGCAAAGCAGTGCTCTAACTTTACTTCTTGTCTCTTTGCAGTTAATATCCAGGAAGGGTTTGAGTCGAACACTATTTTCTGCTACTAAAAAATGGTTTAGTGGCAGTAAGGTTCCAGAGAAAAGCATAAATGAACTGAAGAATACATCTGGCTTGCTGTGAGTAACTTCTCTCTGACTTCAAATCTAAATGAAAAATGTGCGTGTTCAGGGGGTGGAGTGCCTTTTTTATAGCATATTCTAGTTCCCTTTCAAGAATAACTACTGTAAAAAGCTTTCATTGGTGGAGGAATCATGAGAAGTACTGTGTAATGTGCAAAAAGAGTAGCATGGCCTAAGAAAAAGGCAACTAAAGCAGAAGGGTAAGAGAAACTGCTTACTGAACTCCTGCTCTAAGCAAAGTGGAACTTTCTGAACTAAAAGGGCCATGTTTTAAAGAGCAGTAATAAAAATGACCTATGGTCTGCCCTAAGGGCAAAAAAGGGCATTTTTTTGAGTTGGTATAAATTGTTTTCTTTTTTAAAGCCAAACACATTCATAATTGTTCTTGCATTGAAACAATGCAGTTCTTATTCTAGGCCTTCTGAAAAGAATATACGGTGAAAGGGGAAGGCTTCCTACTGCACGTGTGTGTGTGCGTGGGTGGGTGTGGGAGCAGACACAGAACTGTTACTTTAAATCTGAATATTTGTATTTATAGGTATCCCCCAGAAGCACCAGAGCTTCAAATCCGGAAAATGGCAGACTTGTGTTTTTTGGTGCAACACTATGAACTTGCGTATAACTGTTATCATACAGCAAAGAAAGACTTTTTAAATGATCAAGCAATGCTTTATGCAGCTGGAGCACTGGTTTGTACTTCACATAGCATATTCTTTGAATTTTTCATATTTCTTTTCATAATAATCTCTTAATATTTATCTGAAAGTACAGAAATGCAACCTCTTCCCCAATCTCCAAATTTGTGAGTGTCTTGCTGAATTTAATGCATATCTTTAGCAAATTCTAGAGTATTCTCAAAGCTGTCACTGCCTGCTATTTTATGAAGTAAATAAAAAGTATTCTTCAGTTTTTATTCAGATTAGTGTGAAATACTGAAAGAGGTATTTCTAAAACTTTTGACCTCCAGCAAAATGGTTCTTTAAACTTGTAATCTGATAACTTAAATACGCGGAAGATATTTATATGGTGTCCCTTTTGGAATTTGGTGAAATCGTTATTTTGAGTTTCTGGAAAATATGCTACTATGTATGTAGCATTGCACCCTTTTTGTTAATCCTCTTGAGGGATTTTCTTTGAGTGTGTGCCAAAGTTGAGTTCATCAGCAATGATGTGTTTGTTCATTCTTCAGCTTCCCTGAAGAATAGGGACAAAGGGATAGGGATAAATAAGGTACAATTTTCAGTAATTTCCAATAAGATTAAATCAAGCTTAAAGCCTTACTTTTAGGTCTATGAAAACATTATTTTGTATAGTCCAATCTTGAATAAAAATTTTAATGATTTTTGCTGAACAGACATTGGAACCGTGTGTGTTTGATCTCAAGAGATAATTCAAGCTTATGTTTTGCAGAGGTCTTAATTATGAACTTGTGCAACCTATGGTTCTTAATCTTTAGGTACTGCAGAAAAAAAATTGGTATTCTCCTCTGTAAGGAAAGAAATAAAATTTAAGTAAGTGTGTCCCTGAAAAGCAGAATGAAAACAATTTCTTTAGAAGGTGAAGATCGTAATTTCTTCTAAGTAAAGCCTGTGCGGAGAGGGGAAAAAAATGTCCTAAAACAGATGATATTTCCACTGTATCAAAAAGATTGTTCCTGCAATAGAATGCTGCCTCTCAGACTTCTGCAGGTGCCTTGTTTCAGTACCACTTTAGAATGTTAGGAGTGCCATCAATTGCAAACAGGCAGTCAGGTCACTGTTTTAAGTTGCTTGCTGGTATCTCATTAAATACAAATGGAGCCCTAAATAGGCTCTTCTGTTAACACTTTTGTCAGTTGTAAAGTGTTTTATGCCCTTTGTATGCCACTAGCTGATTTGTGAAATTTTTGGAATTAACAACTACTGAAACCAGTTTGTCAGCTCTTCAAGGTTTAGAATTTATTGAAGGAGATTTTTGTGTGTGTGTTTGTATGTGTAATTGTGTGGTGTGTAGTATTATAATTATTTTCCTCTCCCTTCCTTGCAGGAAATGGCAGCAGTATCAGCTTTTCTTCAGCCTGGAGCTCCTAGACCATATCCTGCTCACTACATGGAAACTGCAATTCAGACCTATAGAGATATCTGCAAGTATGTGGGTTTTTTTATATATACATATATATAGTGTTTATATATACATATACACATATGTATAATGGTTCTATGAATAATGTAATGTAATACCTAGTGGCTTAGCTTTTCTTTCCAAAAGTGCTAATTATCTACAAAACTACAGAATGATGGTATAACTCCTGAAGAGTAAGATGTGTTAATTTATCTAGGATAATATGGAAGGGAGGCACTCTGTTCTTAAAAGTAATTATTAAATTCATTTCTAGCTGTTGGATTTCTAGCTGTCAGGTCATTTAGTTGGTTGGCCAAAGACTTTTATTAGAAATATATTTTTTCCTCAAATGATCTTATTAGCTATGACTTTTATAATGAGAAATGTATGGTAAAACTGGCAGTGTGTACATGGTTATTTTTTGAGAGGCAACTTTTATTCTTAAAGAATATAAACCACAGAGCACTACTGTCATGCAATACAGAGAGAACTTGTTGGATTTAAGACTAAATTTTACATGGCTGCTTTTGATAACTTATGTTTTTGTTCTAGGAACATGGTTCTGGCTGAGCGCTGTGTGCTGCTTAGTGCTGAAATCTTAAAAAGTCAAAGCAAGTATTCAGAGGCAGCTGCTCTTCTGATTCGTTTAACCAGTGAGGTAGAGCTGCTTTTTCCACTCTTGCCCTTCTGCCATTTGTTTACAAACCTAAACACTTCTAAGTTACAATCTAGCTTTTGTCTTCAGTTGAAACATCTGAAAATAGGAAATGACTGTGAAGTTGGAATCAGAAAAAGGAAAACCCAAAATACTAGTTTTTGTACTTGCTGTATAAACAAAGCTTATTTCAAGTAACTTGTTTGACTCTTTAAAGACCTGCTAAATGTGTTATTTCTTATCTTTAGTTCATAATTAATCTCCTTTAACATCTACTCAGTGCTTGAGTGGCATTTTTTGTCAGTTAAGAGTTATGCTAAAAATATTCACTTGGATTTCACAACTAAAATGGGCACCATCCCACGTGTGGTCAGGACTTTTTAGCATAAGCAGTGAGGACACCACTGTAGCTCAGTTACAATGAATCATTAGAACCTTAAGTGTTCAGCCCAGCTTTCACTTCTGTTTTACTTATTGGTGTAAACTAAGTATGGAATTAAATGCTGAGAGTGCAGAGGGTCTTCCTTGAAGGAGAAGGGTGGGGGGAAAAAGAAACAATTCATAATTAGAAATATCTATGACTTTTGATAGCATCTTTTGCATAGAAGATGACCCAAGTTCGATGGAAAGTTTTAAATGACAGTGAACTGGTTTTGTGGTCAGCTACACCAAATATGATGCTTCTGACACCAAATATGATGCTTCTGATTCTTTTCCTGAGGCAAAACGGGATCAGTTGATTATTTTGTCCAGTTACTATCCAGTGTTTGTAGCTTTATCTTTTTGAAACAAGTTCAAAGATAGAAGGTAAAAAAAAAATATTTGAACAGCAAAATCTCACCAGGAACTATTTAAATTATTTATACAGAATTTAAATACTGGCTCTGCACCATCATTTGACTACTTAAATATAGTGTGCTTGTGGTGTATCCTAGCAGTAGCAAGGAGAATCTTGGCAGGATACCATATAGATTTTCTAGGCACATTTGCATATTGCAGGATCAGTTTTACTAAACCAATGTTCAGTTCTTGTCTGTTAAAATAAAGTTGGATAAGTAGAGCGAATAACTCTTGAACATTACAGTTCTATAAAAGAAACTTATCCCCTCTGTAAGGAATAGAGGAGTATTTTGTTTGGTGTACCTTTCCTCTTATACTTGACTTTGAGACTAATTGTCCTTTTCACTTGTAAATAGGATTCTGATCTTCGCAGTGCGCTTCTGTTGGAGCAGGCAGCTCATTGCTTTATAAATATGAAGAGTCCCATGGTTAGAAAGTTTGCCTTTCATATGATATTGGCTGGCCATAGGTTTAGTAAAGCAGGACAGGTGAGTATATCTTTCCAGATAGAAAATATGATGAGCATTATATATTGAATCTAAATAGCCTGTTGAACATGAACATGTCTTTCCTGAAAGAAGTCCCTCTACTTGGAACATCTTTGTTAGAAGTACTAAACTGTGTGAAAATGACATCTGCATTAATCAGTATGGTCTTTTACATCAGTACTTGAAGGAATATTCAAACTTCAGCAATAAGTATTCTTATTTCTGGATATCAATTTCTTATAGTGAAATACCATGTTTTTACACTTAGATGCATTTATTGCTTTCAAGAATTAGGAATTTGTTAAATTATAACCCATTAAAAATGGCCAAAACTTAGAATATTCTGTCTTTCTGTGCTTTAACCATATGCCTTTCAGTGTAAAGGTATAGGTGTGAGCACTTGCTACAAGCCAAGCTATGGCATCTGCTTGCAGCTGTTTATGCTCAATTAGCAATTAAACCCGTGAATGCTGTCTGTATGTAATTGTGTTCTTTATTTTGTCTTGGATGTGTAGTGGATTTGCTAGAGATGGATTGTGCCTGATCCCTGCTGAGGTTAGGAGTTCAGTTACAGGGCTCTCCCTGAATACAGCTTACCTGTATGCTGTGAACTTGTGCTAAACTTCAGTTTGTATTGCAAATCAAAAATAAAGAGACTGCGGACGTCCGTCCTATTTGAAACAAAATCCTTGCCCACCACTGCCTACCTCCCTCTTGAAAACTTGAGTTTTGATCATCCTGATAAAGACCAAAAAAAGTATTATTTTACACGCAGCTGCTGTTTTTAAAATTAGATGTGAATGCTAGTAGGACTGTTTTCCTCTTAACTTGGTTGTCTTGTTGCAGTCGGCTTCCTATCTTTTTCTTACAATACATTACTGACTGCAAGCTGTTAATGAATGTGGGTTTTAAATTTTTTTTTTCTGCCTAGGAAACTATACACATGATAGAGCTTTGTGGCTCTGTCAAGTAACATCCCCCTTGCATTTTGTAAGGAATCCCTTTTGTAGACTTTTCGGATTTCTAGAAATACAAAAATTTCAAAATAAATGTTACTAGAAGTAACTGCTCAGCTGCAGTATGTCAGTATCTTATTTCAAAGAGTGTCAGTAATATCTGCTGATGTTAAAGAATTATCGCTTGTATTTAGCATTGCTGCTTGAACATTTCTTGGTTTTGCTCTCATTGCTGCTGTAAATGAGGGAATGCTGTTCCCTTCTTTAAAAGCTGAGGCTTGCTGTGCTGTGCATGGCCGTGCAGGTGTTCAGTGCCTAGATCTGGCACTGATTGCTCAGGCTCTGAGGTGTTTACCTGAAAGGAAACTGCTTGGCAGCAGAGCACCCGTCCCACCGTGGCTGATGTGATGGGTGACCTTGTCCCATACGTGCTCACAGATGCCAGCACTTGGCTCTAAAGCAACACAGAACACTTTAACAGGAGCCTTCTCATCTTTGGTTAACATGGTGCCTGCTACTCTAGTTTCTGAAAACGTGACCTTAATCTGAGAAGTAGGCACTGTACGATAAAGCAAACTTCTGCCCTTAGATTAATGTGGACTGGATATTGTGAGGTACAGTTCTGCAAATACTGCCCTTCCCATGGTGATGTGGGAGAGGGAAAGGAATGGGTGTGTGGTTTAAGTACAGTACCTTTTCTAATTTACAATTCAGTTTTCCTTGTACTAAAACTGCATTGGGTGCTTAATGAAATTGAGAACTTTTCTTGTTTTTGCAGAAAAAACATGCCTTACGCTGCTACTGTCAAGCCATGCAGGTTTACAAAGGGAAAGGCTGGTCCCTTGCAGAAGATCACATCAACTTCACTATCGGCCGCCAGTCCTTCACGCTCCGGCAGCTGGACAATGCTGTGTCGGCCTTCAGGCATATTCTGATCAATGACAGTAAACAACCTCCAGCTCAGCAAGGGGCTTTCCTAAGAGAGTATCTCTATGTTTATAAGGTAAACATGTTTTTTGCTTCATGCCCAACACTCTTTTTTTCATTCTTTGAGCAGTGATTCTATTACCAGTAACCTTTTTGTTAAATCATTAAGTGTGTTTCAGTCATACCTGCTTTGTTCAAGGGTTGCTCTTTTATTTAGTTGACCTATTCATTTTTAATCCTGTTTTCAAAAACAAATCAGCTGCATCTGTATTAAGACTAGTTGATTTGCACTCATGGCCAATCTAATGTAGTCTAGCAGCGTGTGGGGCCCTAGGGTTACTTTATGAATGTGCTTTTATTGTAGAAAAAAAATCCTTAATTTTGACATGGTTTTGCAGGCCATGATATATCTTTCTTTTGGAGTAAAATAATCTGTTTATCATCTTCATTTTTAATGGTCTTTAAAGTTTTTGGTAATAGATGTTTAATAAACTCTAGGTGTACGCACTGACAGAATTCTTGATCATCTTTCTGCTAGATCTTTGAGTCTCTAGTTTTGCTTACATCTGCCCCACTTAACCAGACTTCCTAGCATCAGACTTTTCTGAATAATAAGCCAGGCTTCAATTAAATATCTTAGCTTGATTAAGGTTGGCACCAAAATTTGGGGGAATGAGCACTTCTAAAATTATAGGTTGCCCAAGTTAGCATGCTGCTTGCTGTTGGCACTCATTTAATTCTCTTATCTCTTGTGTAAGTGTTAAGCTTGTTAGGTTAAAAATAGGTCTAGGTTTATGTACAGTAGCTTTTCACTATGTGTATGTCTCTTTAATCAGAAAAATAGACACTTTTCCTTCGTTAGCTGTGTCAAAACAGGCTCTAAAATTGTTGTAACTACAGGTAATGATAAACACCTTTCTAAGATTGAGCTTTGCCATAGTTACAATTACTTGCCTCCAAATCTATTTTGTGATGGCCTTTCTCATTCATTGGCAAGGAGTTCACTTGAAGGTAACTGTAGAAAATCAAATTGAATTCAACTAATCTTTTCTGATATTAAAAATTAATCCGCATCCACATTGCAGAGATTCTTTTTTAGATCACTTTTTTTATAGATAGCGTATCATTTGGGTGATAAGTAAATTCATTCTTGTTTTTTTCTAACTGTAGCATATCCCATATGTTACAGATATATCCCCACAACGTGCAGCCTTGCAGTTAATGACTTAAACTTCTGAGCAGAACTTCTGCAGTCATTTTCTGCAGCAATTGCTAAGTTATGGTAGATCTTTTTTGGGAATGAATCACAGGTGAGATGTGATGAGAGTCTGTATAATGATAAAGTGAATGTAGTTTATCAAATCCTGAACTCTGAGACAAGCTTTGTGTTCCCATAGTAAAGCTTGTGGCCACCACGTAAAAATAAAGACTTCATAAAGACTTCTTGAACTTTAATCTCTTGGTAAGAAGAGATAATACACTTCAGGTTGTCAAGGCAGAAGCAGCTCTTGGGTCTACAGCAGTTAATGATTCATGCCATCTTACAAACTCTGCCCTTTCAAATATTGAGGGCTCTAATTTGCTTTTGTGATCTGAAAATTGGTAATATAGCATGTCCAAACTCTTTTGCTTTTCTCCTTCTCCGCAGAATGTTACCCAGCTAACACCTGATGGTCCGTTACCACAACTTCCTTTACCATATATTAACAGTTCAGCAACCCGAGTTTTCTTTGGGCATGATCGAAGACCAGCAGAAGGTTAGAGAACTTTGTTTTAAATACATTATTCATGGCACCAAAACATATGAGATTTCAAAAGAAAATATTAAGTTCCGTGTCTTGTTAACTGTCTCCAGACTTCGTGAAGTCTACACGTGTAGATGTACTTGACTGTTTTTTCCGATAGCTTGAGAGTTTCAGTGTAAGTCTGTAATAAACTTCATGAAATAGCGTAAGTTTTTCACATTAATGAGTTAAGATGTTGACACAAGTGCTAGTGATAGAAGTTAGCTTTACATTCAACTTTCCGTTGGATGAAATGTTTCAAACTTAGATTCCTGAATGCAGAGTATGTTGAGTAGAAATTTGAATGCAAACTGTAGGGTTGCACTTTATCATAAACTAAAACTAAGCTGCAATTTGGGTATGCCACTGGAATTCCACATTTTGAAAATAAGTGTATTCAAATCATCATCAAGATTGTCTTCCATGTGTCTATTTCAAGATATCTGTCAGTCCTCTGACTATTAAATTAACTGTACTGCAAAAGAAGGCCATGATTGAGCTCTTACCATCTTTCAGGAACATTTCAACATTCTTTTTGTTGCAACTGTTGCTTGTCACTTGTCATCTTATAATGTTACCTTACGCTTGTATTAGGTGAGAAGCAGGCAGCTACGCATGTCAGTCTGGATCAGGAATATGATGCAGAATCCTGCCAACAATGGAAGGAACTTGAGGAGCAGGTTGTCTCTGTGGTTAACAAAGGAATAATACCTTCAACCTTTCAACCTACACAGTTCTGCTTAAACAGCTGTTCGGATAACTCCAAATTTCCCCTTGCTGTAGTAGAAGGTAAAGTTAGCACTTGCCTATTTCAGAAATAAGTGGGTTAAATTAGTGTAAATTAGTAGGATCAAACTCACACTTTGTGCAATTGGCATTTTGAGTTGGTGAAGCTTGAAATTTTGGTGGAGGTAATGGGTTGCTATTTTTCTCCACTTTAATAGAACCAATAACTGTAGAAGTGTCCTTCCGAAACCCACTGAAAGTTCCAATTCTTTTGACTGACCTTTCATTGTTGTGGAAGTTTCAACATAAAGACTTCGATGCAAAGCACGATGGAGTCACAAAAGAGCTGGTAAGTGAAGCTTCACCTTTTTCAGTCTAAATCCAATTATTATAGTTGTAGAGTGCATCTCAGCATCTCAAAATATTGGAGCAAGAAGGCTTCTGTTTTTTTTTTTTTTTTTTTTTTTAAAAAAAAAAAGCATACTGAATACTTTCATGACTCCCTTAAATTTTTCCCAGACCCATGAGACAAAAATTAGCTGTTAACAAGTTTACTGTAATAAATATACTTGAGGCTAAGTGATTTTTTTATCCACTTACGTGTATATTAATACATTTTCTTGTATAATTCATGTATGTTATTTTGTATCACATTAGCCTTGACTGACTGAAATATGATTTGTGTCATTATATCAAATATGTATTGTTTACCTTAGCTACATTATACTTCAATTCGTGTTTTCTGAAAGTGCTGGTGTGCTATGGGAAAGTCTTGATATCTTGGTTAGAACAAAAATAAAAATGTATTTTTTAAAGTATCATTTTTTTAAAATGCCTAATTATTACATTCAATTTTTAACTTCAACTGGTAGGGTCAATACTTCCCTCCAAGGGTCTGTTCTCACATTAAAAGATCAAATATGGGTATATTCTAATTCTGAATATTACAATAATTTTTTTTTTTTCTCCAGTGAATATGGGGAGAGGGATGGTCCTTTTGACTTCTAAAGGTGCTTTAAGTACCTGTCAGTGTTAGAAAATTTCATATAAATAAGTCTCAGTGGCAGCCATACATATTCCCTTCTGTTCCGGGCAGAAATGCTGCCTTAATGATATGATACATACTAATCAATTAGTTAAATTGATTGGGAATGACTTCAGTTTACAGTGATGCATCTTACATGTCTTTCTAAAGCAGATAATGACTGAGCTTTTTCTGAATATTTCTGTAATTCAGATGCCTCAGAGCACCACACATACAACTTCCAGTGAATTCTAGACAGGACTATATTACTATGTTTTTATCCTTAAAGACTTTACTAAAGCTGCAAGATTAATTTTTACAGCCATTTTTGTTTCTAAAATTATCTGAAAAGCATGTTTTTTCTCTCTCAGGGAACTGGTGATGATGATATGATAGGGACGGAAGCAATCGCAGAGTTTTTAATTAATAGTGAAGAGACAAAAGTGGTAAGTAGTATATTTATTTAGTGTTAACCTTTTGGTTTCAATCTTATTTCAGACTTAAAGCTAAACTTCCTGCATCAGTAATGCATTCTGCCTTTGTTAAAGTTCTCTGTTAAGTTTAGGGCTTCTTTCATAATGTAATGAATTTTCAGCTGGACTGAACTAGTAAATTTTATGTGTATAAATTTCAAAGCTAGTGACCTGTAGCTTCTGTATGCAGCTGCATAAAGTGTGGCAATATAGTATAGCTGTGGGTGTCTTTAGTAATTGGGCATTTAAATGTAATAATACTTCTTCTTTAGTGGCAGCAACAACAAAAATTTAACGTATCTCCACAGGCAAGACTAAAGCTCTTTCCCCATCAAACAGGGGAGCTACATATTCTGGGAGTCGTTTATAATCTTGGCACTGTCCAAGGTGCTGTGACATTAGATGGAATAGATCCTTCTGTTGGATTACAGACAGGTGAGTGTATTATTTTCTTAAATTGAGTGCCTAATGAAGGAGGAGATGGTGATTCTGCAGGGCTAGCACTAATTCTGTTGATGTGAGGATTTCCTTTGGAGATGGAAATGAGGAAAATACATGGAAGTATTGGCACCTATAGAAAATCCCATGAGAAGGGGAAGCTAGAGTAGAAAGGGGAATAGCTAGGTAACGGGAACTAAATTCCCAGAGCTAGAGTTTGTAATGGTTTCAGAATTTAACTATTCTACTTCTGTCATGTTGCATCGGTAACCCCCTTAGACTCCTTTGTTATTTTTTATGGCTTTTAGTTTAACTTTTGCTTCTTCTCCCTAACTTTTCTCCCAGTGTTGCTCTGAAGTCCTCTGGTATAGGTTCCCAAATTTCAACTTGCCTGATAGGACCTCTTCATTTTATTTTGGTTGTCTTCCATGTGTATTTTAATACAAAGGATTTATGACTTGCATGCTGCTTTGGTTGAGTCATTTACCTGAAAATGTTTCGCTTAAGGAAAATTTAATTGTTGGAGGAAATGGGATTAAAATAGTTATTTGAATGTGCTTAAAAAGAAACGTGAACTTGAGTTAGCTAGATGCAGTTGGTTTTTATTCTAAAGACTACTTCAAAGTCTAAGCTTTCAGTTTCAGCAGTGGTGGTATGTTCTGAAGGAGGAAAAAAAAATCTGTTGGTGGGATGGGTGTGTGTGATTTTGTCCTTTCCCTGCCCTAGGTACTTAAATTGGGAAAAAGATCAGGATCATCTTGACTCTTCCAGCAGCCCCAATCATGCAGAATTTGTCAGCCCTGTTCTCTTTACTGCTAGGGCTCCATACAGTTGTATTCCCACTACTAACAGGCCAAGCAAGCTCAAGACAACAGAAGTCTGTCTGAGCTTGCAATAGCAACACTCCTGTTATGACAGTAAACAGAATAGTTCTGTCTGTAATGATGATTAATCAGTGAGGCTTGTATACACCCAATAATAAAAACTTCAACATGTTTTTTACAGTTGGGGAGGGGAGATGAATTTTTTAAATTTTGCCAAGAATTATACCTCCTAAAACATGTTTCAGGAAAGTTTGTCTCCAATGGATTGTCTGTACGAGGACGACAAGATTTAGAAATCCAAGGGCCTCGTCTTAATAACACAAAAGAGGAAAAAACATCTATTAAATATGGACCCGATCGACGTTTAGATCCTATTATTACAGAAGAAATGCCTTTGTTGGAGGTACGTGGCTATTTTCTGTTGGTAGCTTTTGAGCAAGCTTTTGGATCTAGAGATATAAATGTAGTTCTATCCAAAAAGTCTAACCTTTATTAATGTCTAAATCTTAACTTCCATCAATGCCAGGCTTGTTTTTCTTAATGTGTATTTTTTTAAACCTCTAAACTAATATCTTGCTGCAGTCGTTCTGTTCCCTTTAGAATTTTAGCTGGCAATGGTTTTGTGACCAAATTAGAGGAGTAGGGAAGAGAACGGGCATTTTTAATTAATTTGCCATTCTTCGTCTTGTACAGTCCTAAAAGATGTTTAGTTAAACACTTATTTGTCACTAGGATTATCGTAAAGGTTATATTATTTAAATCTGGTTAATGATAATACTGTGTGGTTTAAAGTTGGTGGTTTCTGTTTTCATGCTTGTTTATAACTTGACAATGTTCAGGCTCTTTCTCCTCCCCTTCCCCTTCTCTCCAATACAGGTGTTCTTTATAAATTTTCCTACAGGGCTTCTCTGTGGAGAAATCAGAAAAGCATATGTAGAATTTGTGAACGTAAGCAAGTGTCCTCTTACTGCCCTGAAGGTTGTATCCAAGCATCCAGAATTTTTTACTTTTGGTGGAAATACTGCTGCTCTGACACCACTAAGTCCTTCAGCTTCTGAAAACTGTAGTGCTTACAAGACTGTGGTGACAGATCCTACCTCTGTGCGTGCAGCACTGCTGTCTTCAGCTTCTTCTGCAGACTTTGGGGTTGGCACAGGAGGTCAACCAGAGGTTATTCCTGTCCCGCTTCCCGACTCCATTCTTCTTCCTGGGGCTTCAGTGCAGCTGCCAATGTGGTTACGAGGACCAGATGAGGAAGGTGTCCATGAAATTAACTTCTTGTTTTACTATGAAAGTATTAAAAAACACTCAAAAATGTGGTAAGTTTTTAAAACTATTTGTCATACGTAATAAGCTATCGAATATTAGACACCCTGTGAAGATGAGTATTGTTGAGTTTCACTCAGTTGCTGTGGTAATGTAAAACAGCAGTGTTATCTGCTCTTCCAAATTAATGCAGTCTAAAAGCAATAATCTGTTTTGTACTGTAATTCCTGTGTGCAGTTATAAAGTCTATACTGTTTTCATGAAAGTGCCAAACCACTCTTTTTAGTAACTCTGGAGTTGATGGAATCTTGCTAATGCAGCCGGTGTTCATGGTCAGCATTCCTCTGGAACCACATCCTGCTCTTGGAGTGGTGGCTGGGCAAAATCATGACTTAATTTGTGACTTCTACATACTATAAAACAAATTCTTACTTTGACTTTTAAGAATTCAGTCTTCAGATAAAATGTGGCTTGTGGTTATGAGAATTCCTTCTTTTTGGAAGGGTTAAATACCACGTTTGTCACTTGTATGTTATTGGGCTACTTTGGGGAACTTTTTCTGCTTTCTCTCTTTTCTATAACTGCTTTTTTGGATCATTCTTGAGACATAGATAATGAATTTAGACACAACAAGAGGGCAAATAGTTTGTGTGTGGATTTGTTTTGTTTTATTCCTTCTCCTTCAAAGGGGAGGTGAGATTACTTTTGTTATGCTACTCATTCTCAAGTCTCTGCCATAACCCAGGTGGTTAAAGCTTGGAAAGTCTTGCATATTCTTTTAATTATGTAATTTTCTGGCAGAAGGAAGCTAGAGCTCCATGATACAATGGAGTGGATGTGCTAGAATCCCTTACCTGGAGAGCACTTTGGCAATGGTGCATTAACAGCTAGTGCAGAGTGGGAGTGAATCTGTAGAGCAGCTGCTAATAATTTCTCCTTGAGAGACTTTTTAAAGGCTCCTGGCTTGCAGCTTGAGCTTGTCTAGATGCTAACTGGAAAAGGACAGTTATAAAAGTCAACTTTGAAAATCCTCAATTCAGGGGAATTCTTTGAATGTAACAGTTCTGTCTTGACGCTTTTGTAATAACTGTTTATGCAGCAGATGGTACTAGTCAGCCTTATAGAGTTCATTTGCTTAAAAGCAGTATTTGCCATAATATGTGCTAGCATCAATAACTTAGTTACATCCCATAGGCCAATAAATGCCTGTTTGCATTCAGTAGGTTAGCAGTCCTATATCTGAAAGATTGATGATGTATTTTTCTTCATGGTAACATCTGAACATTCTCTCAGTATCATTTTCAAATATCTATCCATGCAGCAAAAATGTTACTGTACTCTCCTGTTGATAAGAAGCTGAAAAGAGTTGTCTTGGTGTGGGAAAAATAAGCTGTCTATCCTTAATACCAAAGGCAAATGTAGAAGACTATTTTCTTGATGGGAAGTTGCAGATGGCAGTCCTGGTTCTGAAGTTTTAGATGCATATACATATCTATAAGCCTGCACACATGTGCACACACCCTTTCTAACCTCCTCTTCCTTCCCCTCTTTTCCTTAGTCACAGGGTATTAAGGCACACTGCAGTCATTTGTACTAGTCGGTCTCTGCACGTTCGAGCTACTGTCTGCAGAAGTAACGCACTTGAAGATGACGAAGGCAAAGGAGATAATATGTTGGTGTTTGTGGATGTAGAAAATATCAATACTGTAAGTTCATATTAAAAATTACTCTATAGTTCATGACATTTATAAGTCTGCTGAACTTATCAGTAAAGCCAATATTGAAATAATTGCTTTCCTAAAACTACTTTGCCTGAAAGCATTAAATCATTCCAGTTAACATGAAATTTGCTGCAGAGACTTGCTGTAAGTCTCTCCACATACTGCAGTACTCTGAGTCTTTTCCTTGGCTTCCTGTAGGGTGACTTATTCTAAATTCCTCCACATTCCTGGTGCTTACAACTTTCATGATGCTTCTGAATAAAATGCCTTCGCTCCTGTCTTTCCGTCAAAACACTAGTGTGATCAAATTAATGATAAACTGAAATAAAACTTTTTGACTTGAAGGCAGCATCCTTGTGTAAATTTACTAGCCAAACTCTTAAACAAGCCAAACTTGAACAGGTACCTGTGTGTATAATCCAAATACAGATATGCTGGTTGTGGTATATCTGCTTAGCGCTGTAGATTAAAATATTTCAGTTTTTCACACCACATAGTTTTAATTTGACTGTTTTTTGGTAAAGCTGTTGCAGTTTGTTTTTTTAAACAACAAAGCAAGGGAGTTTATTCCTCTACTTAGTCGAGTTCTTTTTAACCTGCACATTCCACTTAACCTGCTAGTTGAGCCGTCAAACTGATTTGTCATTTTGCATTAAAGATGTGTAAAATGTGATGTTCTTGATCTGCTAAAGCAAATATTGATTGCCCAAGCCTCCTCTGAGGAGGGAGGATTGCATTATAAGGTATTCATTAACTAATAATTTCAGTTTAGAGTGTTTTCACTATTGCTTTACTGTTTCAAAAAAAAACAATCCAAAATCTGCTTTTCATCGTGTATGTATGTACTGCCTGTTTTTAAAAAGTTACTAAATCTAGTGGGTAAGTTTAGTCTTCATTTTGGAGGACTTGTGGACAGATGTTTTGCACTGGAGTCAAAAGCCTAGGTTTGATTATAGTAGTCTTTAATTAAAAACAACAACAGAAGCTTATTTTTCTTTTCCTGCAAATCGTTTCCTCTTCTCATTGTGGCCTCCCTCACTGGAACCGAAAGTCGTTGGGGACTGACATCATTTTTTGTTATGATGGGGCTTTGATCTCATCTCTCCTTAATAATATATTACAGATACAGATAACGTGAAAGAAGAATGGAAGAATTTCAACACTGCTACCTTGCAGTCATTATTTACTAAGCAGTGCAGAACACACCAGCTGTGATTAGTCTTGCTTGACTTCATTTTTGTTTCTCCCTTCAGAGTGAGGCTGGTGTGAAAGAATTTCATATAGTACAAGTTTCAAGTAACAGCAAACATTGGAGGCTTCAAAAATCTGTTAACATCTCTGGAGACAAAGGTGTGTGGGTTTTTGTCTGTTTCTCTTAGTCAGCTTCAACTTGATGATTTAGTGTCAAGAATGACTCAATTATAAAAATTATTCCCTTTCAAACATACTGTAGTTCTTTTACTGTTTGAGGAGAAAAGTGTATTGAAAAATCTTGTCCTTAGTTTTAGTAGTGATACTAAGCTATATATAAATTATTTGGATGATGTAGTGAAATCCATGTCTGAGTTGGGAGATAATTTGCTTCAGAAGAGAAGTGTGACAGCATAGCTGTATCATCAGTTATTTATAGCAATGGTAATTTAACTAATCCAATAGAATATTTGATGAATGCTGTGTCTTGCTTTAACAAATACAACCAATTTTTGAATAGGCTAATTATCTCAGGGAAATTTAGGTGAGAAAGGCTGTTATAACATGACTTTAGGGCATTTTTAAAATACCATATGTCCATATGTCACTGACTTGTCACATATTAGTATATGAGTCTAAATGGTCTGACTTCCTCTTTAATACTGGAGGCTGGATTTTTGTTTTTGTCTTCTTTTTTGCCCTCTTTATGTGTTGCAGCTCACTTGCTCTAGAGCCAGTTACTCTTGCAGTTCTCTGCTTAATGGGATATGTTTAAATTTCATGAGTGTGTTTGATTTGCAAGGTGCAGGGGCTGATTTGACTGACTTACTGAGGAGGGGAAAAAAAAGTTGTAACTCTTTTTCTTTCAGATACTAAACTTGCTAGCAGAGAAAGAGCAAAGTTATGTTTTAAAGCAGTAAGATGCAAAAACACAGAAGGTAGGTTCTGCATGTGGTAACTCTTGGAGAATATAAAATTTAGATACTGCATGCTGAAGTTATCTTTTCCATGACGCTGAAAAGCCTTTTCTTTTTGTTCCTTAGAAAATTACACATTTGCTGATATTGTCTTTGGAAATGAACAGGTATGTGCATGAGTGCAACAACATACTTGTTATCAATGTATCAAGTATACTTGTATAATCAAGTATCCCAGTGAAAGCCTTACTACAATTTAACAAAAAAAAAAAAAAAAAGCTTTAATGGTTGAAGTTGGACTTTTTTTTTCTTCCACTTTAAAAGCTCTCTTTGAGGTCAGCTCTCTTCTGTAAATACAGTACAATGAGGTAGTGCATGGTAGATAATATGGAAATTTCAGTTGTCAGCTCTACTGCTGAAACACTTTCATGGGAGTGGATTAAGGTATTTTTTTCCCCTCCTTTCAGACTCTTCAGGCCACTACTTTTCAATATTTCCCTTAGTCTGCTCCTTTTCTTAACTTTCTTCAATTAATGTATTCAAAAATCTGTAAACTTGTAGTGGATATAGCTACCGGAATTTGAAAACCATTAGTTTAGGCTGCAGTCATTTCAGGAAGCTAATTTCTGTAACTTCTGAAATGGTTGAGATTCCAGTGTCCCATGCCCTTTTAATCTACTTAAACCCACAAGTATTGTCTGACAAAGACTCCTTTTAGAAACCTATCCCGGTGTAGAGGCCATTTCTTCAAAAAACCAAGGGAATGGGCCATTAAATACACCGTGCTAGTGTATTTAGGTACTAGACTTCAGTATTTTACTCTTTTATCTGGGATTTACAACTGCTGTTTATGTACCTGTTTAAAAACCACTGCCATTCTACTTTAGTTATATAAGATGAGTTTAGAATAAACATTTCAGGCAGATAATCTTTATGCTTTAAAGTTGTATGGACTGCAGGGACTCCTGCTTCCTTTTTAGGAAAATCTTCCCCCATGGAGGGAGGAAGAAAAGATTCCCCTGTAGATGGTTGCTCAAAGGCAGATCAGATAGGAGGGTTCTCCTGGTAGAATAATTCCCACCAAATGCTCTTGCAAAGCTATATGCTTCCTGTTTCTCAAGGGGGGAGGTATTAGGAAATATTTTGCCAGCAAGTGTTTGGTTTTGGAAGATCTAAGTACAAGTGATAAAAGCTTGACAAGTGGTACAGCATTTCTGCTTGTGCCACTTATGTGAGATATGCTGTGCTCTGATCTTTCCTATTTGTAGCAAAATACACCTTCCGAACTTTAAATACTCCTAGTTAACTAACCTGAGGGAATCATTAATAAAGCAATAATCACTTTCATGCAAGTTATTAAAGCAAGCTGGAATCTATCCTCCAAGCTAAGCTTGCTATATCAGAGCCATCTCTCTGATAACAGTCATAACCCTTAATGAAAGGCTGTTAGTCATAATTTAAGGCCAGTATTTTATGATTCTGTACTCCTACACTGTCTTTCAGGATTTATTATAAAAGGCTAATCTGTGCAAGAGAAGTGTAAAAACTAAAAGGTACTTCATCCTTTAGGTCTGTAAAAGATTGCTTAAGAACAGAACCGAAAAACTACAGTGATGAATTCTGATAGAGAAGCTTGTACCAACTTTCACAGTGTTCTGAAAGCAGTTTCTTTCTCTTGCAGATAATAAGTTCAGCCAGTCCTTGTGCAGACTTTTTCTTCCAAAGCTTATCCTCCGAATTAAAGAGAATGCAGGTGCAATCTCAGACTCATGCATCTCAAAGGGCTGTGAAGCAATCATTTGATGAGGCAGTCAGGTTAATACAAAGGTGTAGCGAAGTGGATTTGAATGTTGTTGTATTGTGGAAGGTACGTATGGCTGGGGCCTTTTTCCAGTTTTTGTAGTACCTGAGTTATGAAATACGAACAGTAGAAATCATGGTGTGATATGGTGTCTTGAACTTTCAAGTGTACTCATAGAATTTAAGCAGACTGAATTTTATTTAAAAAGAGGCAAACGAACTAAAATTGCTAGTGAAAAGCAAGACAATTTTCCTAGCTGTTATTGTAATAAATATATTTAAATGGCATTATATTATTTTAGATGTGTACATTCCTGCAAATGAATTCTGTATGAGCTCTCTTGAATTCTCAAAATGTGAGGTTCATTAATGCAATTCTATGATAAATGCAAAGAAGAGTGGGTCAGCGTGCTTTGAAGAGAATGCTTTCATTTACCAGCTTACAAATGTTAAATACTGGAAATAAGTAGTCTCAGTTTGAGAAGACTTGTGCTTGCCAAGCTAAAACATTCATAAAATACATAGGTCGTGCTAGCATTTAGGCTTTGAACAATCTTAACTTTTTCACTGAAGCTGGTAGGAAATCAGTAATTCTATGTTAACTTTGATAGCTTTTTTTGTCTTCTAATATTTTTTGCTTCTATTCTGTAGGCATACGTTGTGGAAGACAATAAGCAGCTTATTTTGGAGGGTCAGCATCATGTTGCTATTAACACTGTTGGGAAGGAGGCTTTTTCCTTTCCCCAGAAGCAGGTAACTGAGTACAAAATCTTTATTTAACTGACCTATTTTTCCCCCCAAACTGACTTGATTTGTTCTTACTTGTACATATAAATAAGTGGAATAACTCTGGGTGCTTTTGTAGAGTCTAATAGAAGGTTTGAGCTCATGTTAAAAAAACTCTATTTGTGTGCTCCACCATTTCTGTGGTATTTGATTAGTCATCTGCATAGAAATAGCAAGGCTTAGATTAAAGTGGAGAAGAGCAATATGCACAATGTTTATCTAAACATTTGTTGGAATAATCGGTTCTCTGATACTTCAGTCTAGAATTAGATGAAGAGAAGCTCACCAATGGGGTGTTAAGTCTAAGTTAACATTGGTCATTGATAAAAGTAAAATAGTGGGTTTTTCTTTGAAATGTTAAATTAAAAATGAATTGTGCGTAATAGCAAAATTGATAAGTAAATGCTTTTCTCCTAATGTCAGAAAAGCAAAATTGCTGGGACAGTAAATAAGAAAGTGAAAACCTCTTTTGGAAGAGATGAAGTAATAACATGTTATTCCATTTCTGTTTTTTTCTTTTTGTAGCTGAACAGGCCATAATTTCTGTAACAGATCGGTCTTATGGAATAGCTTTTGTAACTATTTTTTTTAAAAAAAAACAGTTTTCTGTAAAAATAAAAGTATGCTGGATGCAGTTTATGACTGTGAAGACAAATAATAGGCAAAATTGTAGGCTAATAGGCTAAGTCTTGTACATTTTCAATACGGTACAGAACAGTACAGCCCAGTTTGCTCTTTCTCACGTGCCAGCTTCTCTTGTTTTTTGTCAATATTGCAAACTTCATGAAACTTTTGGTGATTTCAGACAGCAACACATTATGCACTTGCTTTGACAAGTACACAATATGAAAACAAATGTGGTTGCTTTAAAATATTGTTTTATGCTATAAGTAGTGGATTTCTCTGAGCTGAGGTTGTACACTTGACGTTAGTTGGTAATGTTAAATACGCAGAAGTTTATTGCTTTCTGTTTAGTTTTTGTCCTGTTTTCATAGAACGTAGGTCTTGGCCTAAGAGGGACATTGTTTGAGATAAACTGACCACTGTTCATTGGCAGTGAAAAATCAGTGAATCTAAGCTTGTGTCTCTGAAGGGTTTTTTTGCACTTAAGTTCCCAAATTCGCTCACTTCTGCACGTATGTGGGCTCAAGGTATGGTGAACTACACTCCACCCTATAAACTCCTCACTGCAGTATCTTCTTTCTTGTCTTAAAAATGTATGTGGAACAATAATCCAGACTGGCCCCTAAAGTGAGGCAAGGATGTGGACTTCTGTGTTAAGGACTTGTTCTAGCAAATGAGAAGGGAGAGGAGAAGTCGGGTGACTCACACCTTTGTCCTAAAGTGAACGTACCACTGAACTTCAGATATGCTAGGGACTTTCATTTATTGATTATGTTGGAATTTTAGATGTCTGCATCCGATAGTTGTCTAAATGGAATTAATTTGGCCACCAGTGCCAAAACGTAGTCACACACAGTGAAACAGGGAAAAATATCGGTACTTCTAACTTAACACTTTCAGTAGTGGCTTCCAGACCCTGACTTGTAATGGGATAGTCAAGTAATTTGTCTTGTAAATCTCTATTCTGTGCATGCATCAGCTGGAATAGAAACTCTGGACAGTTTCTGAATAATCCTGGTTGGTAGAAGCTGGATGTCTTCTGTGGACTGGACAGTAGAGGGAGGTGGAGATGCAGACTTCTTAGCAATGCTGAAGTGATGCAAGGCTGTTCACACCTGAAAGCAGATCTATGTGCAGATTGAGCATAAACAGCATAACTTGCATGAGCACTTGATTAAAAACTGAAGTAAAACCTATAGCTCAAGAAAATGACAGAAAATTCTATGTAAATTTTATATGGAACCCTAAATGCATGTGTTTTTATTGGGTGTTCAGTGTAGAATTACAAATTTTTAATTTTAACAGATAGTGATAATGGTACCATTGAAGGGAGGGGTGTGTGTGTGGGGGAGTTGTTTGTTTTTTTCCTTCCTCACACTGTAGGTTTTTTAGCATGGATTTCTGGGCAGACTAGACTTAGCTTTTTCTCCATGTGATTAGATGAAATACTTGCATCTCTTCTAGGAGCCTTGGACTCAAGTTCAAACAACACCTAAAGAGTACTGGCACAGTTAACACATTGTTCATATACATAAAGCTCTCTGAACAGTCAGGAAAATATTTATATGCCTATCTCTTCCCTCACTTCTATATATATATTTTTAAAAAAACAGCTCTGTTGGTGCAAGTAGGGCAAAAAGTTAAATATAGCTTTTCTTGAACCAGAAAGAAAGATATCAAAGTGATAAGTTAATGGCAAGGATATAATATAAATCAGTCATGCAAAAACCAAATAAGTCGGAACCATACATTCTAGCTGTATAGCAGTCTGGCTCAAAGTGTAATAAAACCTAGCTGGATTCTTTGTAACTGAGAGCTTTTTGGCAGTGACAGTGACTCTTTGACAGTGACACTGTTAGGGGTCTGTTCTGCTTCTTTTTAAGCTCGTTTCCTCCTAGGAATTGGGATGTATTAACTGAAGGCCAAAATGTTTTATTGTCAGACGCTTCGTGCTGTGATAGACAGCTTTTCATCTCCTATTAAAGCTGTAATTTCTGAATGGCAGCACACTGGAATAGTGTGCCCTTATATCTGAAACTCGCTTCACTCATGTGACTTGAAAGATAGTCTACAATGAGATATGAAGTCCGAGGGTTTTTTGTTTACATTTTAAAGAGATCGTCCCCATGTACATCCCTTTATTTTCATTGTGGAATCTTGGAATACACAGACTGGATTTCTGAAAGGCAGATTGAATTCGGGACTAGATGTTCTCCAGTGCTCCAGGACTGGATGTCACGTGCCCTGGGCTGCCGATCCTGACCTCTGGGTCGGACCAGTGCTAGTCCAGAGTAAACCCCACGAAACGGTGTGGATGCTGCCTTCTCGCTGCCAGCTCTCCTTATATCTGAAACTCGCTTCACTCATGTGACTTGAAAGATAGTCTACAATGAGATATGAAGTCCGAGGGGTTTTTTGTTTACATTTTAAAGAGATCGTCCTCATGTACATCCCTTTATTTTCATTGTGGAATCTTGGAATACACGGACTGGATTTCTGACAGGCAGATTGAATTCGGGACTGGATGTTCTCCATCCATTCAGTGCTCCAGGACTGGATGTCACGTGCCCTGGGCTGCTGATCCTGACCTCTGGGTCGGACCAGTGCTAGTCCAGAGTAAACCCCACGAAACGGTGTGGATGCTGCCTTCTCGCTGCCACCTCTCACCTCAAAACTCATCGGCTTGCACTGCTTAATACAGATGTGTTTTAGTGAGGCTACGGCAGTAGGAATTCTTGAAAGACATGAGAGGCTTCGAGTAACCTCTTTCTAACAATGAGTTATCACAAGTGATGTCTTGTGCTAGTTCAGTGTTTGGGGTGAAATATGGCAGAGAGATACGTGAATTCAGTGTAGACTGTTGGAACTGATTTTAGGCATTCTTGAATGCCAGTTAACAGACTCTTTATTGAATGTAGAACTATAATACTTCTATGTCTTAACATGCATGCTTATATGTTAATTTCTGTCTTAGTAAAATATTGTTCTGTAGCAGTTGTTACAATGGGTTAGAAGCTAAAATGAATACAGGCAACTCGTGGTCAATAAAACAAACTTAGTCTCATTTTAAAATGGAAAATCATCATTCTAAAATGGGAAAAGGAAGAAGAAGAAACATCCCTTGTCACATCTTTATCTTGTTGTTTTCAAGTGTTAGGTCAGTCTCCCTTTTGGTACCCTTAGAATTGTCCAACAGTTTTTTTGATTAAATCTCTTCCATGCATATTGGGCCTTCACAATCAATTGACTGGGTCACTAGTCTTTTGACCATCTGAAATTGGTGACTGATGGGGAAAATACTGCCGAATTTCCACGCAGCTTTGAACTTAAATTATGTTTGTTTGCTCTCATTTAAAATATCCAAATGTGAAGATATCACTTGCACTCATCTGATAGGTCTGCTCATATGGAGTTTCAAAACACAGGTTCTTCCTTCCTACCTACTGCATCAGTAGTATAATGCAGAGATGCTTTGAGTTGGGTGTAAGTTTTGACATTTCCAACCTTAATTAGCCTAGTAGCAGAGTTGCATGAGAAATCTGAAGCCATTGTGAATAATTAACATGCAGTTCCAGCAGTTCAGTGTAAGGGTAATACATGACTCAAGTTAGCAAAAGATCTCTCTAAAGATCCTGTTTTTAAAGTTTTTGCAACTAATGAAAAAGTCATGATGTGAAGATTACTTGAAACAAGACACCTGCTTACTGTTCTAGGTTTTTGAAGCTGCTATTTGCAGATGAGAATCATTTTTGCAGCAAAAAATCTTTCTTGAACAGAAGCTACTATCCTAACCCTGATTGTACAGTATTGCACCTCCTGGAAGGCAATTGTGGAAACGTTTTGGCTCTGTAGCTAATGTCTGTTGTATGCTTTCGTTAAAACTAAATGCAGCTGTAGAATAAAAATTACCTGCAATTCTCAACCCCTCTTACAGTTCTTACCAACCAAGTCCCTCTGTACCATTGCCAGTGTGGATGGATGAGATCTTCGAATGTGCCTTAACATATATATATGTATATATTTATTTAGGGGTATCTTGTTTTGTTGTTCTTGTCTGGAATATGTGGTGCTTGTTGCATACTGGAGTCCATTGCACTTCTGGAGCTTTGCAAGGTTCAACAGGCTGAGCTTAGGTTCTGGAGAACTTTGCTTTTGTCTTTAAACACTCCATTTGGATTGGTGCTCTAGGGCTCCTTTCTGCAACAAAATCCTGCCTGTCTGCTGCTTGTTTTGTTTAACTTTGTAAGTAGCAGTCTTGGACCGTGAAGCTGTTACCTGCTTGGTGCATATTCCCGAGGGGGAGGTAGAGGTGCTCAAGTGGGTATGAGCATCTCCTGTAGCCTTGTTGTCTGTGGGCAGCTCCCTTATCTCCAGAACTTTTGCTTCTCATGTGGAAATGCTATCTTTCTCCTGACACACTGCCCAGGAGAATTGTGTGCTAAATGCTGCTCTTAATTATTTTTTTTTAGCCTGTGTTCTAGATAATTATAAGTGGCTAAAGTTTGAGCAACCTAACTTAGAGATATAGATGTGTTCATGAGAGTCTGACCCCTAGCAACTGACCTGACCTAAGGTTTAACTCTGATGTTAAATTGTTAATCCTGCTGCTTTGCAGTCTCAGTAGAAAGGTAGTATTAGCAGTAAAGGTTTGGTGCATTCCATCATTTCGTTGATATATGTTCCTGCTGCTGTTCATGATGTTATTGTCTGTTTGTAGAGATAAATCTTCGTATCTGTCTTTTGTAGGGTTTAAAAAAAATACTCGGGAATTCTGATTGGGAGGACTTGGAACAGGTAATTCACTCTAGGGCAAACTACAGCATATAGGATATTGATGTGTTGTTAAAAAGGGAATTGAATAATTAGTTGTATTATACTCTTGGGAAGAGATCAATTTAAATGTAAACCTATAATCTAAGTTTGCTAATTAGGTAATATCTAATCTGACCAGTGCTTTTATGCTCACTTGAGTTAGATGCCTATAGGATAGGGAGGAAAAAACAAATTCATTCAAGCACTTACCAGATATATATCACTGTTGCAAACTTTCTTATGCCTCAAATTACATTTTCTTAAAATTCCAGTTCCTTTAAAGGAAAGGATTGCAAGCTTGATAAAACTTTTGATGTTTTCTTAGTATACCAAGCAGGAGAAAACATTGACTGTGATCACAGCTTGCAGAATGATTGCTGCCTTCACTGTGGCCCGTGTCTCACCCTGTGTTATTCAGAGGCATGTTTTGTTGCCTGTAGCACTCCATTTTTATAAAATCACCCTTAGGAAAAAGACACTCACTTGTACTGATGGTGTAGTGGTGTTTTTAAATCATCCAATAGTTTCTCTTAGTAGTTACTGCTCTATTTGTTTCTGCAGATCTTTTTTCTTTCTTCTAAGTATTGACACTTTGCAGAGTGGATTCATAAGAGCATAATGCATAGTAGCCACTTCCTCAATAAATCCTGTGCGTAAAGCAGATTAGGTGATGTCAGGGTTCCAGTATCACTCTGGTGCTGGACCAAAAGCAGCCCAACTTGCCCTGGCAGCACCGCATCTTTGTGTCACCTGATTTCTGCTTCAGAGGTGGCTTGGGGCACTCCTCAGTGGAGTGCTGCTGCCTGGCCTGGGCTTTCAGCTGGCTGCAAGGGGACATTCCTCTCATGTGGGAGCGCTTGCTGTCTTATTCTGCCTCAGTCATTGCTATTCTAGTCAACTTCTCCATGTTGTTTGCTTTATGTTGCATCTGTTTTGGGGGAACTTTGCTATTGGCTTTTCTCCTGTGAACTTCCCAGAGTTGGTGGTTGAGTTTTTAGGTATAGCTAAGAGCTGTTCAAATGCTGTCCCTTTTTTATTAATAAAAAAACAAAGTGCCCCGCACATGAGCTTACTTTTGTAAAATGTGCCCAGATAGCGTTTCCACAAGCAGCTGTAAAAATCTCTTATCTCAAAAGAAGCTAAAAGATAGGTCATGTCACTTCATCACCCAGGATGCTTAAATACAAAATACATGGGAAATAAATGTAAGCTTCATAATGCTGTAGACTTGTGTCTTAGAGTTGCAGTCAGTATTTGAAAGCCTTAATTTCTTTCACTTGTGTTGTGTTACACAGTATCCTCATATCAATATCTTAAATGTTGCTCTGAATTTATTTTAGGAATTACCAGAAACGGCCCTTTTAAAGTTTTTCCGACCAGAAAGCACCCCAGTACCTGCAAGACCAACACCAGAGCAGCTCTCTAATCTTATCAAGACAAGGCTTCATTATCCAGAGTCTTTTAGTCACTCATTTCATCAAAAAAGGTTAGTGTAATGTTTGCTGTAGGAATTGAAGTAGTGTTAACTTAATACAGATTTTGCTGAGAGATGCTGTGGGAATTAGCAGGAGGCAAAAGATGATAAAACTGTGGTGGACAAATTTCTCAAAGGGATGAAAGTTTCTAAATTCAGACTTGTATGTCTGAAACTAAAGTCTTTTCTTAAAGAAAGAGGCTGTAGAACTGTAATTCAGCTCAAATAGTAAGGCTATTAAACTTGCTGAAAGCAAAATATTTATGCAGTGTTTCCACTAATTTGGGGATGCAAAGCAAAGGAGGAAAATGTATAACTATCCTGAGCAGCAGAGAATTTCTGTCTCTACAGAAGTCAATGCAGAAGTGTCTAATGCAAAATACCTCCAATACCTCAAGGGAGGGAGTGAGGAGGATGGGGCTGGCCTCTTTTCAGCGGTGGCCACCGGCAGAACTAGAGGAAATGGCCACAAACTGAAGCACCAAAAGTTCCACAGGAATTTAAGGAAAAATTTCTTACCAGTGAGGGTGACAGAGCACTGGAACAGGCTGCCCAGAGAGGTTGTGGAGTCTCCTTCTCTGGAGATCTTCAAACCCGCTTGGACGCAGTCCTGTGCCACGTGCTCTAGGTGACCCTGCGTGTGCAGGGGGTTGGACTAGATGATCTCTAGAGGTCCCTTCCAACCTCCACGATATTATGAAAACGTTTTGAAGAAAGTGTCCTAAACTGTTTAAGGAACTGCATGCTGGACTAGGCTATCTCACTGTCAGACTTGTGCTACCATCAGTAGATTTCCTGTGTTTGTGCTCATGCTGCTCTTTGTCAGTCAGACAAAAGAAGATGCTAATCCAGCCATGGCTTAGCAGCTGCCTCAATTTATAGCTTTGATATAAAAAATTAATAAATGTAAATGGCTATATTGCGATCTTTACTGTCTCAGACTATGTAATAGACAACTACATGCTAATTGTACAGGAGCTTAATTTAAAAGCTATTTAGTTAAGATTATTCAGAGTAAAACTTCTAGTTTTCTTTAGCTATTAAAGTGTTTCTCTTTGCAGCCTCTGTCTAGTACCTGTCACCCTCCTACTTTCCAATTGCTCCCAAGCTGTTGTAGATGTCATGATTGATTTGCGGCATAAAACAACAAGGTAATGTGTACTTGTTAATTTTGGAGGTTACTTCTGAATTTAGGAACTCTTAAAAGGTTTTAAATCTGTTAAATATTTAGAATAAGTCTGCCCATTCCCAACGCTACCAGTAAGTGGCTTCTAGGGAAGAACACAAGTTAATAAAGGCTTCATATGGGAGTCTTCAGTCACTGTTCTTTTTTTTGCCCTACTTTCGACTTTTTTGTTAAGAAAAACCTAAATTGTGACTTCTGAAGAGCTCAGTTAAACTCCACCTGTTAAAAGGGGGAGGAGTAGAGAAAGAAGCAGGTAATGAAAGATACCGAGATAGCTGTAGTCACAGGGAACACTTGGCTGTCCACACAAATAGAAATTGAAAGCTTGGGGAGCAATACCCAGGTTCTGAAACACTGTCTTCTCTTTTCTTTATAAGTTAAAAGCAGGAAGCCATGCACTAGCCCGGTGTGTTCACACAGTGGTTACCCTGTGGCAGTGTTTGAAGGCAAAGCTCTCAGAACTCAAGACACGTGGCTGCCCTATCCTAGGACACTTTGCTGTGAGGTCTCTAAGCCGTGTATATCTATGCTGACTATTTCTGTCTGTTTGGATCTTGTGACTAGGTCTATTCTTATTTGTGCTAGTGCCATAAAAAGGTGGGACTACACTAGAGTCCATAGTACATACACACTAAGGAATTGGGAACCAAAGAAAGGCCTTAAAAATCTGCATTGATCCACCTGAGCCAAGGGGGAGCAGCTGTAAAGGAGTGTGTGATGTGAGAGGCAGAGATGAGCAGGTGGGGAGTGTTTGGAGAATAAGTAAGGATCTGTAGTTAAGTGGAACTGATGAGTGCAAGTAGAAATCCCTCAAGATAACCCGAGGGTGACTGGTTTGCCTCTGTGTGTATATCTAGAATATGAAGAACATAGACGTTTTTCTTTTGGATTACCAACTTTAGCTATTTGGTAAGTGTTAAGTGCAGCTCTGTGTGCACCTATCCTTGCAATTGTTAACCATGCAGGTCTAGCTTTCCCTTGTGAAAACCTAGGCCTTTTTAAGGGACTGGGGGGAAAAGGGTTAGGGAGAAACACGGTGCACTTGGAAGGACTTGGAAGTTGTGAGTCCTTTTGACTGCCTGCCTGTAATAATTTACACCCAAGATATGCAAAGAAAATTGACAGTGAGAACTTTCACATCTGGTGACTGTCAAGAGGAACTTGCATTTTTCTTTTCTAGCTTTTTTGAAAGGATTTGCAATCATAGGTGAGCACCCCCTTTGTAAGGGGCACAACACAGATGCAGAGTGCCCCCTGAAATCCTAAGCAGCCTGTTAAGGGATTTTTGTAAAATAGTAATGCATGCTTCGAAAGGAGAAATGAACTTTACCTTCTCTTTCAGCCCAGAAGCGCTAGAAATCCATGGATCTTTTACGTGGCTTGGGCAAACACAGTACAAGCTTCAACTGAAAAGCCAGGAGGTCTGTAGCCTGCAGCTGAAAGCTTGCTTCGTTCATACGGGCGTCTATAACCTGGGAACCCCCCGGGTGTTTGCCAAGCTGGCGGACCAAGTTACGTTGTTTGAAACAAGCCAGCAGAACTCAATGCCTGCACTGATCATAATCAACAATATCTGACCACTTCCTGAAAAAAATCGTACTAAAAGACAAAATAAATGGGATTCTTTTCTTATATTGCTGACTGTTCGCTGCAGTTTTTGGAAATTGCACCTCGGCATCTAACTCATTACTAAAGATTGTGTAGGAAAGAAACTAGCAAAATATTCAGACTACTTGTCAGTTTATTTCTCAATGCAACGCACGTTGGACTGAAAAATGTTTATCCTTTTATAATGCATTTCTCCGGTAACTAAGATATTCATAACACAAAATGCTCTAACTCCAAATCTGAACATATTTCTCTCCTATGCCCTGTCAAAGATGCAATTTGACTGCTGTTTAACTTCCGGCATGGTGTGTTTAATATTTGTGACTGTATTAGGATATGGTTCAGGAAGAAACCCTCACTGGCTTTCTCCTGGCTTAAGCCATTAGTCATGATAAATTCCAGCCTTACTGTGAAGTTCAATAGGGTGTCTCAAATCTGTTCCTCAGTTTTTAAAACTTAATTTAAGATTTTGTTTGATTTCTTTTCATGCTTATGAAATCTGGTAACCTTTCAGGGTTTACACACAGGTCCACCTAAGGTGTTTCAAAATAATTTTTTCAACCAGTTCAAGTATTTTCTCATTCATCTCAGCACAGAATGCACTATTTCACAACCATTGAGATTGTCATTTAAATTGTCACTTGCTTTATTATGTAACTATAACAATTGATCTGTTTTAAAAAAAATCTACTCAAGATTTTCAAGAAATGTATTATATTTATAACAAATGTACTGTAAATAGAATAAAACATACACCATATTCACTGTATAGACTTGTGGCTGGCTTTTTTTGCTTCCTTTCTATGCCTATAGCAGATCTACAGGTGCTGATTATACACAGAAATTCATGTGTACTGTGTTCATACTGGTCCTCTGGCTGTTGCCATGTGTAATGTTGGTGTAATATGAAAATTACAGTGCTTTCTGCACTTGTCTTGGGCCCTTATACAGCGTTCCCTGCTAACAGCCCTCAGAATCAGCTACCCGGGAATCTTCATTTACTTAGAGTGTGCTGGAGACTTTAATTTGAGCAATAGCTGCTGAACATGGAGAAGGCAGTGTGAACCCATCAAACCTGCTAGATTTAGGAAATTATGGGAATGTAGGGAATTGCCCTACAATAGGTACAGGGGAAATCAGAAGCACTGAAGCAAACCGAAGACTTTTGGCAGTTTGCTGTATCTTGTAGTTGAAGAACGTTTCCCTAATAGGACAGCACTTCTTTTTTTAATGCTACATCTGCTTCCAGACATATACATACATTTTTTTTTGAAAAGATTTGTCAATTTCTTTAATCCAGAGCTCCTGCATGATTGCTTCCAGGAATTAACACTTCCTCTCTTCTTCATAGCAGATGACTTGTATATTTAATATGGCTGCAAATCATGTTTATATGATCTGGATACTTATCCAGCAATATGTTGCTTCTGGGCTTTCCTGTTTCTCTTGGGCTTTTGGGCAGATTGGAGGATTGAAAGAGTGCTCTTAAGTGGTGACTTTTTTTACATATTTGTTGCAATCTAAGCTAACTTCCAGAAAAGCACAAGTTGTGCTCCTTTTAAAGCAGAGGACTGTGTTAGAAAACACTGCTGCCGTGCTGTGCGCGAAGTGGAGTTCTGCACTGGTGAGTTATTGTCTGTGCAATGAAAATCTGGAATCACATAACCATCATATGTAGTTAAGCCATGAGTGTGATTTAGAAGGTGTGTAATTTTTATGAAAATAATTGAAGAACAGGGAATATCAATCCATGCAGCTGGAGTGTGTGTGTGTGTATATATATATTACTCAAGTTTGAGATGGAATTCTAGTATTTGGGTTTGTTGAGTATGTGAATAAACTGCACTTGGAGCATGGCAGCTAAGCTGTTGATTTCATTTATATTCTAGTCATCAGATGACAAACATTCCTTCTATTTGTAGTTGGTCAGGGAACTTGTATACATTTATTAATATATGTGGCCTGAGGCAGCACGAAGTGTCTTTCAGCTTGTATAAGTTGTCACATCTGTCTGGTGGGCTTCTCTCTGAAATGCTTAACCAAACAATCAGGGTTGTTTAAGGATACTAGAGATGTTGCGCTGCCTGGAGCATGAAGGGCATTTGTGGATGAAGGGTATAAGAACTCACCCTAAAGTGGGTTTCAAAATTCAGTACAATGTTTATCTGACAGGATACTGAGAACGGAGGTAAGCTGAATGTTGTGATGAGCTGAGTGTCTCACTCAGCTGGAACTTGTGAAAGAATGAATGTGAATAAGTCTGTCAGGGTGAAAAAGAAAGGGATGGGCCTAGAGAAACTATCACAAGAGGGCTAGGCTCTAGCAGCCTAAAAAAATAAAGAAGAAATAACAGCAATACAGGTGAGAGCTGAGGGAGACGACAAGAATGTCTGTTCTCAAAAACTGTTTAAAAGACTGCAAGCACATTGAAGATCTATTTAATTCACTGTTCAGAGTGCCAGTTGCAAATTCTGGACTTGCTATTTTGGGTAGTAACTAGAAAAGCTGAAGTCTGAACTGGGCAAGCAATGACTCTATCAGATTCATATTCAAGGCTAGGCTCTAGCAGCCTAAAAAAATAAAGAAGAAATAACAGCCATACAGGTGAGAGCTGAGGGAGACAATAAGAATATCTGTTCTCAAAAACTGTTTAAAAGACTGCAAGCACATTGAAGATCTATTTAATTCACTGTTCAGAGTGCCAGTCGCAAATTCTGGACTTGCTACATTTGGTAGTAACTAGAAAAGCTGGAGTCTGAACTGGGCAAGCAATGACTATCTGATTCACATTCAGTTAAGTTGGTTGCTACTGTAATTCAAAGAATGTCCCAAATCTCCTAAGCTAGCTTCATAAAGAGTCTCCGTTCTGTTCCTCAGTTACCATATTTACCTGCATAAAGATTTGATTTCTTTTTCTGTTATAGAAGATGATGTTATAGCAAGGTCTTGTGCCTTTTCTGTACTACTTCCACTTTCTTCTGTTTTTTTTTTTTTTTTGGGGGGGGGGATTATTTTATATATATAGCTGGTTACTCTGATATAGCTGTGGAAAGTCTGGAACTTGTGTTCTGGAAGCTGTGGAAGGTCTGGAACCTAATTAAAGGGGGAGGGGGGAAAGTACTTATGTATGGATGACAAATGCATCTTTATTTTCTCTATCCGAAATTGCTTTATTTAAATCTCACTTGGAACATTCTACATAAGGTCTTAACTAGCATTACATAACAAAAAATAAGTTGTATATTTGTTTACAGAGTTCTAGAATACTGAGTTTTCCAAAATGGTTTGTCAAAAGTATTAATAACTCTGGTCTAATTTATAGATGAAAATGGCTGTCTCACAGTGTGGTAGGCTTAGGTTTTTATTGGATATTGCTGTCTTATCAGTAAAATATTTACCAAATCTCTTAAAATCTAACCATGAAATGGCTTTAGAAATTTTTCCAAATGCTGGCTATTTCACAGTACTCTATTTATATAACCATTACACAGGAGATAGCTTTTCCCTCGGTATCAGGAAAGTATGTTATCTGTCTGAAACACAGTACTCTATTTATATAACCATTACCCAGGAGATACTTTCCTGATACCAAGGGAAACGCTATGTTATCTGTCTGAAGGCTTGCTTATTACAAATTTAAGTTTTTAAATCTGGACACTGTTTGCCATAAAACCTTCATGGATACAGATTCATAAGAAATCTTATGAAGATGACAATTTAGGAAAGTTTTTAAAATTCTCAAATTAGCTTTTAGTTATATTAAATTATGCACTTGCACTGGAAAACAGGTATTTTTTTTTTTTTTTAAATCTACAGCGGCTCTCTAGATGTAAAAGATCCGTAAAAAGTTTAGAAGAAGAAAGTGGGGAGAAAAAACTAGCCTATTAAAGCATTTTGTAATACAACTTCCTCTTAAAGTTCTATTAACTCTGAAATGTGAACTAACTAGAAAATGGGCACTGAACTTAGTTCCTCAATTTCTTTTGTCTCATCTTTGTAACAAACACAACAGAACTTACTCAACCAAAAGGGAAATTTTCTGGTTAGATTTCCCATAGTCTTTCAAAAAAAAAGTTCTCAAAATATTTTAACTTTTCGATATTTTCTTTTGAGTGATAACTCAGGTAGGAAATAGCCTGTCAAAATCAAAAGTAAAATCAAAATCACAAAGCCTATCAATGTGGCCTGAAATTTTAGGTAGCTCCTGGGAAAGGCACCATAGACATAAATGGGAAAGGTTACAGTCAAGTCACAGTAGCTGTAAAATGTATCCACTACAATGGCTTTAAAAATATACAGCCCGTTATATGGAGGGAATATGATCTTATTTTTACCTCCACCAAGAACCTGATACTTGACTGAGGGCCACTTTAATTCAGGTCCATCCATGTTCTTACAACTTACATAGTTTCTTCTGGTCCATGCAGTATTTGGGTCCGGAGAGGCCTGCCTTTCTAGCAAAGTAGTCCAGTTTTGAGGTTGGGAGAAACAGTTGGCATCGTTAGCAGTCAAAAGATAATCATAGTTAAACATTCCATTTATTTCAAACATAACAAATTCAGCAGAGACTTGCTTCTGAAATTTACCATCTTGCCATAACTCAAGAATTGGCACCCAAGGGTTTTTGTAATATACCAGAAGAGGGCATCCCAGATTCTTAAAATCATAATTTATCTGTAGATCGTCTTGCTGAATATTCGGCCTGGCAAGAAACTGTGGGTCATATACGTCATGGCTAATCGTGTAACTGAAATTCTTCTTCAGTACTGCTTCCTGAAAAAGCTCTTTGTCACATGCCGTTATATTTTTAAAGATTCTTATGTGCTTTGTAGGTGGGCAGGATACTTCAATAAGTGCAGTCAAAGGAGCCAGATCAATGCAACCAATGCCTTTGTCAGGGATGTCCACAGTGACAGTAGATATCTCCCCATCAAGTAAGCCAGCGCAAAAACCACGCACTGCAAAGCCAGAGAAAAACTGCTGCTGCAGACCTATGTTCAAAAGGTATTCCGTGTTTCCATCATATGTAAATCCTATCTCTAATATCGTTGCACTGAAAGCCAGCGCATGGGGGTTGCTCACCGTCACTAAGGGCACGGATTTTTTGCCTGGCTTGCGCACAAATGTGGCGTTCAAAGTCAGATTCTCATGCATGTCAATATAATAGATCTTGTTCTGGAAGTTTCCTTCAAGGATCTCCACATCGCAGGACTGGTGAGATCTCCAGATTGCTAACTGCAAGTTAAATTTGCATTTCTTGAAGTCATGCATTTTGGAAAAATTGCTAATCACAGGACTGAGTAAGGTCAGCCACCCTCTTTCTTCAAACAGCATCACTGTGGTGTTTAAATCTATTGTCTTGTCTGTGGCAATATACACCATGGTAGTGACCAGGCTGATGCTACCGTAGAAGATTTGCTTGTCCTGGGTTAAGACTGCAATTTCGGACCCGCTAATAGTCACAAGGGAGTAACCACTTCGAGGGAAGGTAGAGTTTTCAAATGTCGATGTGGGAAAGACAGACACTTCATCCATAATCAAACCGTTGTTGGAGGATACAAGCAGAACGTCTGTTGACCAGAGAATGATGAAACCCCTCAAGCCAAGACTATGGATACTCCAAAGTTTATCAGGGAATTTGTTCATCACGTGGAAGGTTGGAGAGCTATAGTTAGATGCATGCTGGTCCTTGGAACCAAAGTATCTGAAGTACGCGCCTGCTGCCTTCCCGGCGCTCTCCTCTTCGGTTCTGTTGATAAGCAGGCCAGTCAGGCCAAGAGAGATGAAATTGTAGACACCAAGCAGCACGCCTCGCTCTGCTCTGCTGATGACCACACGTGTGAACGTGTGACCTCCATCCTGTGACTGGAAGATGGGGCTGTTAGAGATTGAATGGCCTACGTCGTAAGCAAAAACGGTCCAGCTGATCTCCTTGCAGTGGGACTCCTTTCCTTGGTAGCAGCAGTGGACGTTGGAGAGTTCGGACACAGGTGAGCTGACTCCTGCTGACCGGACCCACTTGTTAGTGTTCTTGAAGTACGTGTAGACCCGGCTGTTGATCACCATCAAAAGGCTGTCCGTGTACACGAAGGCGATGTCGCTGACTACTGCTGTTGGGGCCTCGAGCTCTTCTGGGATGCAGAGTGGGATGAGGCTGGTCTCGAAGCTGGTCATGCTGACAAAAACATCCTCGCCCAGGTACACGGAGATCTTTTTCTTTGCCCAGGCGTGGTACTGGCTGCAAGGGTGCTGCAGGAGGATGGGCTTGGTGCGGTTGTAGACCACGGGGGTGCACTTCGCCTCCTTCACTTTCCTGTCGAATGCGATCGAATACGCGAGCCGCTCATCGACACAATCCAAGCAGGCCCCGCTGCCCAGCAAGCAGAGCCACAGCCACAGCCGGGCCCGTGGCGCTGAGTGGGCCCGCGGCGCCGGTGCCGCTGCGGGTATCATGTCCGCTGGGGTCGGTTGGGCTGGTGCTGGCAGCTTGGCGCGGCCTCCTGCGAGCGCCCCAGCCCTGAGCAGGCCTGGTGGCGCGTGCGGTGGCTCCAGCACCCTGCCTTGCTTGACGAGGTGGGGAAACACTGAGGAAAGGTAAGCAAGGAGGAGCCTCCCCTTGGCCAAGGTGCCTTCTCTATCCCTGTGTGAGGGCAGGGAAGGCCTGTTTGCAAAGCGGCCACATCACACGACTTGGTTTTGGGTGCTCCTTTAGCTAGAAACAGCGTTCAATACCTTCGGTGTATGCACATCCCGCAGCAGTTTGTGAGCAGAGCTGTTCTGAGGAAGCTAGTCTTTCCAGGTATCATAGAATCATAGAATGCTTCCTTAAGCATTCTTCAGATAAAATTCTTCCCTTGAAAGACATGAATTACGCCTGGACTGTGCTATTGGAGGTAATTCGAGAAAGTTTTTGTCCTTTTTTTGACTTCTGTAAATCCTCATTTTTCTAAATACTTGGTTAGCGTGTAATTTCCAGCATCTTCCTCACTGCCATTCAGATTTTCACTTGGTGTTGTTTGGTCCTTTTCTGTCCTCTCTATTGAGGAAGAATGCTTTCCTCTGCAAACACAACTTAGTATCTCCCCGATCTCTTTCTATAGCTGATCTGCTTTCTCTTTTTTTTCATATTAACACACTTAGTCTCTCTCTGATGTCTCTCTCCATAGTGTCATGATCATATTAGAGGAGAGATCCTGCTCTCATCTTTCAACCTTTAAGTATC